GGCCATCCTCTATTAACTCATTAGCACTTGTACTACATTGTATTACATTTGATTTTGTCCCTGACCAATTCATAAAACCATAGAGTGCTTGAGCGTTTGCATTGGTTCAGGGAGTAAAAGGCAAGTATGCTTTGTTTGGTAGATGGACTAATGGGTCAAATGAAGGTCATTCCAATCAGTGTTACATCAAATGTAAGTAAGACTTTTGCAATCAAGTAGTTTATTATTTGTTATCCCTCTTGTTACCAGGGTAACTTCTCAGTTGTCAAGGCACCCGATGAGTACTCTGTAGAGATTCAGAGTACTCGAGGTTTGAAGGAATTCCAGTTTGATCATATCTTCATGCCTGAGAGCACACAAGCAGATGTCTTTGAAGATACCAATGTAAGTTTCCATACATTTATTTCCGATGCATCCTATAATTTAGATAATTTGTTGACTCTCATTGGAGGTAAAATTATTGTTTCTCCTGGCGTCAATAACACATTTGCCATTTTGTTTCCATTACTAGAACCTGATTCAGTCTGCTGTGGACGGCTACAATGTCTGTATTTTTGCCTATGGTCAGACTGGTTCCGGTAAGACGTTTACGATGATTGGTGATAGGGAAGGCAATTTCCCTGGCATTGCACCAAGAGCGTTTGAAAAGATCTTTGAGGTCATCGAGGAGAATAAGTGAGTAAGATTTTAGTCTTCACAAATTTCACAGAATGAGGAATAAAGTTTTTGTCTAAGTAGTTGTTTTTCCCGCATATGAATAAGGTGACATAATTAAAATCAATAAGGTATTGCTCAACCATCGAGATTCTGTGACTTTTTCCGATCCCTTGTGCATAGAAAGTGTCGTCATACAACACTCTTTGTATTTTTGTCTAAATATGTTTATCATTCTCTCTGTTTTTCCAGAGCCAAATTTACCTTCCGTGTTGAGACCTACATGTTGGAATTGTACAATGACAAACTCATTGACTTGTATTCCAAGACACATGGTGAGGTAAGTTGGCAAAGACTTCCCATTCCCACAAGATGGCGTCGGAACAATAGTCATATTGCCCCTTTTCTGTGGCCATTCCTGCTTAAAACCTTCAAATAAAATCTTTGCACTTCAACATTTACCAACTGATCTATATGAGCTGTTCTCAGTTATAGAGCGCCCATATAAGTGTTATAGAGATGACAGGTTCAAATCCTGCTAAAGTCAATTTTTGTTGTTCATCTTTTAACAAAATCGTTTACCTGTTTCTAAGTTGCAGTATATTTCGTTATTTTTTAGTATAAATTATTTTCATTTTGTTTTTGTCAGAGTGTCAAACTGGACATTAAGAAAGACAAGAAGGGGTTGGTGTTTGTGCACGGTGCTGTGGTGCAAGAAGCATCAAATTCCAAGGAATTGTATGGACTGTTTGAACAAGGATCAGCTAGTAGACATGTTGCATCAACCAGTAAGTTCATATACTGATGTTGATGCAGCTCAGCACAGAATATTAAAAGTTCCCAAAACGACCTCAGTTGTAGAGTAGATCATTTGCAGCTATCCAAAAAGTAACTGACAAAATTATTGTTGAAGAGCTTACTTGGCTTAAAGATAGTAATGGCAATGAACGCCCTGAATGAGAACACGACCTGGATACTGATTTCGGGCGCAATTCAGACCATGACTTGGCAACCTTTGAATTGAAACCGAGATGCTACTTTCTTAGAATATACAGCATTCACTGAGCTAAAAGTTATCAGGTTAGTTGTTCAACACCCGTCTTTAGATTCTGAGCATTTTTGTTGCTTCAAACAAAAAATGCACAACTGACAAAATGAACTCCCCTACCTTTAAACTCCCAGTCTCTCCCTGCTACCCAAGCAACGCCTAGTTTGTTCATGAAAACATTGAGTGCTTTGTTGTGTTTTACTGGGGGAAAAATAGGAAATGGAATTAGGAATGATTTGTTCATCAAAATTTGTGCTCATTTTTTTCTTGACAGAGATGAATGCGGAGAGTTCTCGGTCTCATCTGGTCATTGGCGTTGTCATTGAGAGTACTAACATCACCACGGGAACGGTTACTAAGGGAAAACTGAGTCTGGTAGATTTGGCTGGTAGTGAACGTGCTGCCAAAACGGATGCCTCTGCTCAACAACTCAAGGTATGTTTCTCAAAGGCAACATTTTAACTCTAAACGGAAAAGTTGCTACTTTGAATTTCACCTGTTTAGATGTCCTTTGCACTTAAGATTGTTGTTACCATGTCAATCAAATGATATGCATTGATCCCAACATCTAATCATGTGAATTGATGCACCTCTTGGATCTGTTTGTCTCCCTTATCACAGGAAGCCAACTCCATCAACAAATCCTTGAGTGCGTTAGGTGATGTCATCTCAGCTTTATCCAGTGAGCAATCTTTCATCCCTTACCGTAACAATAAACTCACCATGCTGATGCAGGACTCCTTGGGAGGCAATGCCAAGACTCTTATGTTTGTTAACATCTCACCAGCTGACTATAATTCCGAGGAGACTGTCATCTCATTGACGTAAGTAAATTTTATTCACTGTCTCATGTTTTAGTCATTGATTGGATGTTGCGTAAACATAGGCAGTAGTAGACTTACTTATTTGTCATCGTAGATTCAATGCAAGTCAATAGTCAAAACAATTTCAGCATAAAGAAGTGTAAAAACGGATGGGAGTTTCCCCGTGTTTTCTCCCAAAAGGGTTTTTCGCCCCTCTCGTAATCATCGAATATAATTATAGCAATATATTTCTTGATGTTACAAGATAGGTCCAAATTCTTCGCGTTCACTGAATCCACCTTATAGTAAAGCCTTCAAACTGTACATGTAGTTATAATAGTTTTTAAAATACATGTATATTGTATGTATGATATTTGCTTAACAACTAGGCCTTAATCAAATAATGTTTTATCCCATTGTATTGAATTGTATTGTATTTGTAATGTATTGTATAAACATGTTTGTAGTCATTATTTATTCTTGCAGGGCCCCAATGGAAAATAATAAATAGGTAAATGAATAGGTAACATGTACTTTGTTCAAAATTACAGTGTTGAGCCATGTTGAACTTAATCAGCCAACTTAGTTTTCTTCTACTTTGTGGTCTGTTGAGTTTCAGTTCTAAAAAATTCTGAACAGTTTTGCGTTACTTTTTTTTTTTTTACAGCTATGCATCCAGAGTCAAGTTGATCACTAACGATGCATCTAAGAATGCTGATAACAAGGAAATAGCCAGACTCAAGGAGGTGAGTGCATAGAATGAAACACAGTTCCAGACCTAAGCTTTGTGACTATGTTTTATCATCTGCTTCGGCCTCTATCCACTGTCCACTTTTTAATAAGTACTGCAATTATTATTATTATCATTATTAATGCCATTCATTAAATATTACAAAACATGTTGTGTTTTTTAATCTTCCCAGATTATTGCTAAGATGAAGACAGGTGAAGTGGTAGAACTGGAAGAAGATGCCGAGGTGTAGTCAGTGTAAGTCACCACTTGAAGATGACAGGAGTGAATTGAGCCAGACACTTCAGAGGAATGATTCAACGTATACATGGGGATACCCTGTCAGCACCTGTACTACATTGTGTTATATTGAATTTATTCGCTAATGAGTGCTGGGGGATTTGGGGCGGAGCTGTGACTAATGATTCTGTAGAACTGGTTTTAATATGCATTTGAATGTGTATTGTTAACCATGTTAAGGAAAAAGGACTTTGAATGTAAAGTTGAATTGCTTGATATTCAAACTGTTAAACTGATCTAAATTTGCACCTGTAGTCTGAGCAAGAGTAAGGGCACATCATTACCATTCTTAAGATCTTTAGAATTGCGTTAAGCTTAAAAAAAACCCAAATTTTTGAATTATATTTTTGGATTGGCAATATTTTAATTTTCCTTGGAATCACCATAGTATTTGACACTTTTTGAATTTGAATTTTTGGAATGTAGATAGTATACAAATTCATTATATTTAGAACATTTTGCTTATTTTTCTAAAAATCTGTAAAGTGCTTCACAAAAGTGATGAGATGATTATGTATATATTTTGATTTTTTTCTATATTTTGTGCTCTATATTTTTTCTTCTACATTTTGTGCTATAAAAAATGAAGATTTGTGAGAGCAAAAAATCAACAACTTTTTATCAGTTTTATGTAGGAAATTGTGTCGGGATAAAAATATATAACATCATTTTCCACACCGTAACAGGAAAGAGATATTGTTTTTGGTAAAAAGTGCACTATTATGTGCAACTTTCATTTTTGTAGGCAGGTACCATTTTGAATAGTTTAAATGAATTTTACATCTTGAACATGTTATTCTTTTGGTCCAAATGAAAGTGAACGGTTTATTGTTATCTTTATCCTCTAGATGTTGCTTTTATTTCTGTTGGTAAGCAGCATATGAGGCAAGATATGTGGCAGAGGGACCCCCACCCTTCTTTTGTGTTGGTCATTGTGTTACAGGAATATCAGGAATTCTTTTGAGATATTTAGGGGATGTGTTTGGTGACAATAAGCTAGAGTTTGTGCATGTATAAGAACATGCCATCCTGGTCGCTGCCACAAATCATGCAGGCCATAAAAAGCGGTAGTTCACATTTGTTTTTAAAGATCAACTGTTCATGTTAATTAAAAAAAAACACCTAAGTTTGATAGTTTATCATTTTTATCCTGATCCGTCCACTTTAACCCTGAATGTCTGTTATAGGTTAAGTTAACTCGACATTCATTCTGTTTTTATTAATATTAAAAGTTTTCTTATAGAAATTCTGACTTATCTATTTTTTTTTTCAACCATTTTATCCGTCCAACATGATTTGTAACAATAAAATGTAAAACATTCTCAGAAGTTGTCAGTGGATGTGGTTTATTTTTGTCTTAATTACCATTTTTGTTCCGTTAAATTACCATTTTTTTCATATGAAAATAACGAAGGTTTGAATTTATAGATTATTAAATACGTTGTCAAGTACATATATATATAGAGAGAGAGAGAGTGGTAACACTACGTGTTCAGTTAAATCTTAATCTCGTAAAATGACGGACCAACAGAATAAATCGATCCTTTCAGTTTTTACTGTAGCAGCAGTGATGCTGGGGTGGTGGTGCTGCTGGTGCGGCAAAAATGTAAGCCCTATAAAGTGTAAACGTTGAGGGCGCTTGTTTCGAAAAAGTTGTTTTAGTATGCTGATCGAATCAAATCGTCAGTCACGGTGGCAGCACCAAAATTTATGATTTCTACCACTTTAACCAATGAAGTAAGTATTCAAAGGCTGAAATATTAACGTATTGTTTAATTTCCTGTCGTTTTTGCCCAGCTACTTTGAATAAGAATAAGAATTAATACTCGCTCTGTGACTGAGTGTGAGTTTCTTCTGCATGTAGTTGTTGCACACTAGCATACTGGCTAGCTAGCTAGTAGTAGTAGTACTATAGTAGGAACAGACAGTGTCATGACTCGGTTGGTGTACATGATACATGTAGCATTTCTTGTGTGTAAAGTTACATATATATTTAATGATATCATGTACAATCTTCTATGCATGAATTCCTAATTTTGTTTGCAGTTTAGTTGTTTTTGAATCGCACTTTAATAATAGTAATCATTCATAGTATACATTGCATGATGTAAATCAGCCCAGGTTGGACGAAGTCTTCATTGCAATATGACTAGGAGGAAAGGGAGTCCACCAGGGCTAGATGTAAATACATGTACATTGCACAATGTAATTTACAGATGTAGATTAATTTTGTAATGAAACCCATGGATACAGGTCTTCCCCTGGTGACAGTGATACAAATTGCTTTTGTGGAAAGATCCAGGAATATGTAATTTTTCCATTAATGATTTTATTTGCCACTGACACACTGTTTGCCAAACATAAGATCTAAATATTTGGCATGCCAAATAAATTATTTAAATTAGGCAGTGTATATTTTGCCGGAGACGGCAAACCTTTAGTAAACGTTAGTTTGCCAGATATGCACTGAACATGCGCAGTTACTGTTTTTTGTACTTAAACATTTTCCGGTGACAAGTTTTAGTCTGGCTCCATGCCAAAATTATCGTTGTTACCTCGTATTCACAAGATGGGATTCAGACCATTTTATAATTTCGGACTTTATTTCCCTTTTAAAAAAAATCCTCCAGAGCCACAAATCTGAAAAAGAAAATGTAATACTCTGCAAAAAATGTTTGAGACATGTTAAAATAATAAAAGAAGAATATTCTTATTTATTTGGGGATGAGAAAAAAAAACTGAAAAATGTGGTGCGGTCGGAATCGAACGCGAGTAGTCCCGCTTACTAGAGCCTTTGCTTAACCATTACACCAAACGTGCAACACAACTTTTGGTGGGAATTTAATACATTTTATAATTCAGCCCTATTTTAAAGAGTACAGCGCCCTCTGTTGATATGGATTGCCGCCGGCAAACCTTTAGTAATCGTTAGTTTGCCGTCATTACCTCCGGCAAAATATCCACTATCTTTAAATTAAGTTTGTACCAGAAATATTTTTCATTGAAAGACAATGTGTTCAACTTCAAGTCCATTTCTGATGCAAGCATTGTGCAATAAGTTGTTTTACAATAATATGCATCATCTTGCCAGTATGCAGATGGGACAATTTTACACGCATACTGTGTAGGCATCTTCAATGGAAAACTTTGGCGCTCCCAAGTCATCATGCGGTCATTCCAAACTGCGCCCGCGTCTAGCAATGCGTGTTTTTTTTTGCCTGTGAAACACCTTATTGTGATTTAAATGTGTTATTACTACAGTACAATTAAGCATAAATTTGTCAATCATTGTTTTCATTTTTTCAGCGATCATTGATAAAGAAATGGCAGCTCCCAAGATGCTCTTTGTGTTTGACTTTGATCAAACAATCATTGATGGCAACGTTGATGTCTGGATCAGAAAACTTCTTCCAAATGGCAAAGTTCCGAAACCAATCAAAGATCGATACAAAGAACATGACAGTTGGACGGAATACATGGGAGACATCTTCTCTCATTTGCATGACTTAGGCATTCGTAAGAGGAAAATGTTGCAAAGCATCAGCGAAGTTCCTTTCACTCCTGGGATGATGGAACTTTTGAAGTATCAGCAAACAGCCCCCTCTATTGAGACCATCATTGCATCTGATGCTAACTCACTGTTCATAAGCCACATTCTGGAGGGGGCGGGGCTTCAGGGGGCCTATCAGGAAATCTTCTCCAATCCTGCAGAATTTGATGCAGCTGGATGCTTAGAAATAGCTCATCATCATAAACATCACTGTGAAAGATGTCCCACAAACCTATGCAAAGGAACAGTGTTGAAAGGCTATCTTCAGACAAAGTTGAAGACTGACAGAGTTGTCTTTGACAAAGTCGCAGTTGTCGGAGATGGTACCAATGATTTCTGTCCGTGTTTGGTTCTAGGGGAGAATGATTTTATTTTCCCAAGAAAGGGCTACAGGCTTATCAAGAAGATAGAAGAATATACTAGTGATAAGTCTGATGAGCCTGTTGCTGGTGGCAACAAACTAAAAGCAACTATAGTTCCTTGGGATAATGCTCACGAAATACTGGACTATGTACGGGAGATACTTAAACCATCCAAGGCTAACTAAATGATGTCTAACTGCTTTCTTTTAATTCTGAAATGGGTTAGTTGGCAGTTGCTAGCTATGCTAGCTATGAGTTGGCTAGCTATAAGGTAGGGCTCCATTCTCCAAAGTGTCTGATAATTGCAGAATTGGAAACTGAACAAAGCAATGCCGTTTTCACTGTGACAAATTACATGTACTTTTCATAAACCAAAGCTTTTGTTTTGTAGCTACTTATTAAAAGATTTTAAAAAGCAACAGGACAGTACAGCTTTCTGACAATGAAAAAATTGCTTTGTGCTGGATTAAGAGTTTTCCAAAGTGAGCATGTACATGTAGTCGCCTAAAAGACTGCTCTTTGATACAAGGCAACAAGTGCAATGGAACTGATAATTTGGAATCTGCACGTTTACGTCAATAACTCGGCAGGATCCATCAGTCTGGCTGTAATGCCAAGGTGGTTCAGATAACATTAGTTCAGTTAGAATCAATGCATACGTCACACCTTGTTGCAAAGAAATAGCACAAATAAACATGGTGAGTGTGGCTAAATAACCATGGTTTTATTTGTTTACTGTTTAAAAAATTCATCTATTCCCCACAAAAAAAATAATAATTTACAATAACAATTTCAAGGATTTGAAATTTTCAAATGAATCGCCAACATGGCTTGGGGTCAATGAGTACATGTGTGACTATAATTTGTAGCATTTCTGCTTTTATTTCCTTGGACCTTTTAACAGGCTTCAAATTTAATTACTTGTAAGTGTACCAAATGTCGGCAATTTCTATAACCGTTTTCAAATGGCAATGAACGCAGAGTTTTACATCATTAACTGTATCAATAAATGCAGAGTGTAGCAAATCAATTGGTATTACATGTAGAACTCCAGTAACCTTGAAGGTAACAAACAGTTTAACTAAAGAACAATTTTGTAAGGTTGAAAAGAAATTATCCACCTACCGGTAATTAGGACATTTACACACATGAATACAATATTATGACAAAATCTTCATGACTCACTAGTTTATACCATCAGTAATTCACACTGCTTGTTAGTCTCGACTCCATCTTGGGGTCTGATTGAAGAACAGGCAGAAAAACTTGTCTCTGTTTTAGCAGTGGAATGAAATGTGTTGCATGTAGTTAAAGGTAGAGTACATGTACATGTAGATCATTTGTCATTTGTGTATTTGTTTCGTTTGAAGCAACAAAAACTCTCAAAATCTAAAGACGGGTGCTTAACAACTGACCTGATGAAGTTTTTGGTCCGTGAATGTCGTATATTCCGAGAAAACTATATTCTAGGATCTCAATTTCAGTTTAAAAAATGCCGAGATATATTTTGTTTTAAACCCAAAATCAGCATACAAAACACTTCTTTCAGCCCATTGCAGCTACGCGATGTCACATACTAAACCGATGAATAATAGCAACCACACGCGCGTGTACGTGTGCGTCATGCAAATTCTTGCACGCACCCATTCACGGATTCGCCCAAATACAAACCAACTACTAACGTAAATTAATTTTTCAAAAATGCATCACTTGGCTCATTTTTGGAAATGACTTTATTATTTTCTTCAAAATGACATCTTGCCAGAAGGAATAATTTCACATGGAGTTTAGTGCCATTTCTATCTCTAAACCAAGTAAGCTTTTTAACAATAATTTGGTCAGTTACTTTTTTGGATAGCTACAAATGATGTACATTGTACTCTACCTTTAAGAGGTCTCTTAATCTTATTCAAGACCTTCATTGTATCAGCATGATTTACCATACAGTACATGTACCGGTACATGTACAATGTACGTGTATTCTTAAATCAATTCATCTATTTAAAATCTGTGTACCTTTCCCATGATAAATTTGTAATGTAAGTTGCATTGTTTGCATTCCTTTATTTTAAAGTACGAAAAACTGAAAAAAACCCCAAAAGATTCATGTTACATGTACACGGGAAAAAATATTACAAAGAGACCTACAGGAAATTAACTAAGACTGGTATCATTTTGTGTCAATCAAATTATCTGCTGTAAATAAACTGTTACAAGAAAAAGTAAAAATCAACAAGATTCTTTTAATACCAAAAAGTTAAGTCTTTCACAAAGCGCCATTACCAAACAATATCACAAAAAAAGGGGAAAAAAAAAAGATCTTTTAGCTCAGCCATTTTCATGCTCTACCGTTAACAATGCGCCTGCACAATGCTCGGAAGAAACAACTAATTTATGTAATACACATGTTAACCAGACCAAGAAATTATCTTATAAAACTTAATGAAAGTACTCCCAAAACCCAAAGTACAAAAAAAAAAAAAATGAAACTTATTTTGCCAAATCAAAAAAAAAAAGATTATTTACATCAAAATACTAATAGTAATACATCTTGAAATGCTATCACAAATAACATTTGAAAATCTTCAATTTAATACATGTTTGAAGTATTGAAACATACATGTACACAAAACATGTACACAAAACATGTACATGTAAGAACAGTGCACCCAGAGTAACTATTTTACAAAATACAAAATATACTGCATTCCAAAAAAAAAAAGAGGAAAAAAGTTAATAGTTAAGTGGGAATCACAAGCAAATATTATATACATGTATATGACAACCTCTGATATCTGTAATGTCTGTTTAAAACTTGTCAGTGAAAATCAACAGTAAAGAGCAAGTCTGAGCAACCATTAATTCATAACATCACAATACTTAAAATTAAAAAAATATGTAAATTGTAAATGTGTCCCAATCCTCCAAAGTCTATTTACTTATATTATTAAAAGCCTCCAGTTTATTTCTGTAAACAATTCTTATTAAACTTAAATGCATTCACAAATAAGCAATGACATTTCCCAGCAGGAATGTGTTACCATCTGTCAAAATAACTTTGATCTTTCATAAGTAACACAATTCCCCTAAAGCTTGCTGTTTGTTAGTATTTATTGATGTTAAATATTCTTACACCATGGAACATAGGCAACTTGGGCAGCACAATAATCAAGGTAAAGATGCCGTTGATCAAGAAATGTGTGGCTTGGTACTTTGTGTAGAAACTGGCCAGGAAAAACCTGTCAAGACACAAATGATACGGAAAGAAATGGTTAATTTTTGTCTCTCTCTCTTTTGAGTTATCCAATGCCTTGAGGTGTTGGTGGAGTATTCACGAAGTCCGTTCAGTCGTTCACCAGCGTACTCTGTCCCTCATTGCGGACAGTAGATTGTTTCCCTCGAGCCCAGTGCCCTTCTCCAGGAGTGTCTTCAGAATTGTATACATGTAAACAATCTTAATTCATTTTCATTGGGTTTGTGTAACAGCTGCCCAGGGCAAGAATCATCAATTGACTAGTGTTCATCAATTGATCAGTTTACCAAGATCAAGAAGATCACACAGACCTTGCCTGCTGATGGATATTATTGGATTAATACTATTAATAAGGGCCCAAATGAGGATTGTGACTTACATGACAATAGGTACGACGGTAAGGAATTTTCTGGTGGTTGTAAACTGGTCACCATTGTCGATCTGTTCCCATTGAGTTAAGTAGCGCTCCGTTTGCTGACAATCTGACCAGATGGAGCCTTTGATGTAATGAAACAGTAGGTACATCAACTGTGTAAACATAAAGAACAAATGAAATCAAAACATCTACTTAAGTAAACTTTAGTTCCCGATATTATAATAGTTACATAAATAAGTACAATTACAGTTGCACCCTTTCAACCCGAATTAGTGTTTTGATCGAAGTTGAAACGAAGACTGAATTTTACCAAAGTGCTGATTCAGAATTTAAGCATTGCAAATAAAAGTTACATGCAATGTTAAGAATTTGTTAGAGCTGTCCTGAATATACTGAATATTCTATCAACTGAAGATTGCAGGTTTAAATATTAGAGGAAAAAAGCTACGCACATACACACACGACTGTGATTTTATGTTATCGTGACGTTGCGGCACTTTGCTACCTGCCACTATTTTGTTGACTAACTTTTTTTGTCGACAAAACACTCCTTCTCCAGCATACCATATCGATCTCCGCACTGACACACTCTTAGTGTTTCTTTTTACCAGCGCAGCACACAGTTGCAGCTGACAGTTTAGAATATCTGAATATTCGGTCAAACATACTTTAAAAAAAAATCAAATACTAAATTATTCGAAAAGGGTCTGTCCTAGAATTTTTACAAATGTAAATATTATATTTTGGATTGTGTGAAGGAAACTTTGACTGACCAGGCTGTGTGTGACTGTTGTAAGTGTCCACACCATCGCTACATTCAGGAAAGGTAGACTGAGAAAGAACAAATGCAGAGCATAAGTTCCAATCAGATATGAAATCCACATGCCACGACTACCCAACCATGAATGAAACGGAGTTATATTTGACTCGATCACTCCATTGGCGACAGCACTCGGCTCCGAAGACTGCTCTGATATTTTCATCTTCATGGCTGCTGTCTCAATCTGGAACAATATATCTCCAGAAATGTTTGTAAACTTGGCAGATCTTTCTTGGTGTGGACTGCTTTCTTCCAGCTGTTTTCCCAAGGAAGACACAAAAAAAGTAGTTTTAGTGATACATCAAATGAAATTATAACCATGATAACAGATTCGCCGCTCCCGCAATCAATTTTCTCCTCGTACATCACTCGGACCGTGTGAAGTAATTTCGACTAGTATTTTGTTCGTACTCTACAGTTGTATAAACTCTTGCATCAAATGTTTGTTGAATCAAAATAAGTTGTAGAGTCTCTAATATTTGAAAATTCACCAACGAATGGCCATATGTTTTTGCCTAGTTCCGGATCACGCGTGCACGTAGGACCCAACTGCACCCGTGCTAATCAATTTTATGTGACATATTCTTTGATTGGTCACAGGTTTTCGGTCTTCGCAAGTTTGTACCATTGGCACTGCGCTGCAGACAAACATTTCAAAATAAGTAACTGGAATTGCTGAAATTTGCTGGAATTCTCTTGAATGAACTGTTTTTCGAAAATAATTCAAATACTTTATCAGAAAATGTGCTTGATTTGCTGGTTATGTATGAAAAATTGTTTTTTCACGTGAATTTTTTTGGCGCGAATTGCGAAGCGGTTTTTGATCAATTTGAATTGATTTAATCGATCCGGAACTAGGAAAGTGGCATCGGTACTTTTGACGTCGCAAGGTCAAAATTAAAAGAGCTTAAACTTGGGAAACTTGAGCCCAAAGCAGCTTGAATGATGTTTGCTATCCGGAACATGCAGAACTAGGAAAATGACTGTATGGATGAAGGAACGATATGGATGATGATCATGGGCATGATGGGCATTGATCATCACATCTGTTCCTTTCCGCGCTGTGTGATCATCATGATCATCATCAGAATGGTAATCACGAATATTAAGCTTCAACATGTTCAATAGAATTAGCATGTAAACTATGCAAGCCACAGCACGACGGTTCATGTGTACTGCCTTAGCCCCACTTGTGTGGCCTTAGTATTGCTGCGCTGTACGTTAGGCCACACGTCTGGTTTCCCAACCTACTGAGGAGTTTAGTCCGATACTGGCGCATACGGACTCGGACTCCATAAAGATTTCTAAATTTCTCAAAAAATTTGGAAAAAGATTACCTAATCTACCCGGCATGCCCGAAGGGCAAGAGATGAGACATCATAGAATACAACCATAGGCCTATAAAAAAAAATGCCGAATGGGGGTGCGCCAGTGTTTGGAATAAACTCCTCAGTACAGACGTGTGAACGTACAGCCCAGCAATACAGAGGCCGCACACCAATTTCTTTTTTCCCAAACAACATCCGCATATGGGTGTACGCTATATGGCGTTTAAGCATGAGAAGAAAGTATAAAATTAGAAAAAAAATGATTTCGAGCATTATGAAATTAAGACTTCATTTCCCTTTTAAAAAAAAGTCCTCCAAGTCCAAAGCCTTGGGAAGATTAGAAAAGAAAAAAAAATTCGGTTGCAAAACTGAGATTCGAACCCGCAACCTCGCGGTGCAAAATCCTACCGTTTATCGACTGAGCTACCGCACTACTCAACAAAACATGGGGAAATTAATAAAAAATATACCTGCGTACGTATATCACGAAAGTGTCGTAGAGGGCGCTAGACAACCATTTATGCGGATGTCGTTTGTTGGGAAAAGAAAATTCGCAGGCCGCACGCACAGGTCAGGTGGGGCTGCTCGATTATCTCCGTCAGAGCAGCTTGTACTAACTCTATTCCTAAATTTAACGTATCAATGACTTCGTAGCACTTTACAAACCTCGGTTAAAACTGTAATGTGTCATGAGAATAGAATATTTTGACAAATTGTTACTTTTAGTTTTACATTAGTTTTACCAGTTGCCGATGCATACGTCACTCACAAACATTCAGTCCGAACTATACCCTGTCTCTTTCTGTAAAAACGAATACTTGTTTGTGCGTTGATTAAATGACAATACAGCACCAGACTAGATGTTGACATCACCTTATCAAGGATTGTACTCCGTGTAAGCTGCTTAACAATTGGATTACAGTGCAGCGATTGTTCGCATTTAATTTTCTGTTTCAGACATAAAATTGGATCATTTTGTTATTATATTACAAAATTAAAAAAAACTTATCAGTTTTAATTTGGTGTAGGATAATTATTGTTGTTCTACTACCTTTAAGACATAATTTACCACAGAAAAATGCACTACTAAAGTAGCCAATCAATTTAGCCGATTGATAGTCATGTCGGTGCTATTTGGGGGGGTCAGACAAGTCGACCGTTGAGACAACTCGACTCGGGACAAGTCGCCCGTTGAGACAACTCGACCGTTGAGACAACTCGATCGTATGTGCGATAAATGGAAAGACAAGTCGACCGTTGAGACAAGTCGCCTCGCATGTTTTTGGGCCTAGTTTTGGGGATAGTACCGGGGATTTTGAAGGCGGCTGATCGCCGTTTGGGAGTTATGACACGTAACAGAGCAGAGCCGATATAGCGCAGCGTGATTGTCCGTGCACATCGTTCGTTTTTGCCGGGCCTGTGCGCGCATCTCCGGTCAACCGCGTGGCCGTACCGTGCACGTGCCGTGCACTTTAGCTGTCTCAACGGTCGAGTTGTCCCGAGTCGAGTTGTCTCAACGGTCGACTTGTCTCAACGGTCGAGTTGTCTCAACGGTCGACTTGTCCCGAGTCGAGTTGTCTCAACGGTCGACTTGTCTGACATTCCTATTTGGCGAACTTTACTTTGATAGAGGGCGCTGTACTGATACATGTAGCTCTGTTCGATAGCTGCCGCCAAAGTTAAACCTGAGTGAGGAACGATCGATTTTTGTGAGTATAAATTAATTCGGGCAAACTTTTTATCATCAAATAGCGGAGTGTTGAAAAAAGGGGAGCAGGGCCACGGCGGGAAAGTTTTGTTGTTGTTGTTGGATGCGGGGATTGCGGTGTTATAGTAAAATGGCACTTGCGTGGGCGCAGATATATGCCGGGTGCATGCGCGCGTGTACGCCGGGTGGGCATAAAGTAAATTGTCATCAATAGAGGGCGCTTTATGTACCCTATAGGACTCACAACTTTATTAACCCTAGGACTCACTACTTTATTTCCCTATCTAAAATCAAACCCAACCTACACACTCCGTCTTGGATGCGTGGATGTGCAGATGCGGAGTGGGCATGAAGTAAATTAGAGGGCGCTTTATTATTGGTAGCCCCATAAATGTGGCCAATTTACTGGACTACCTCCGTAAACATAGGCCACACTTCCACATGTACAAAAACGTGTCAAACTTTGTCAAATTTTGATTTTCACATTTAGGCTTAGTTTGTTTTTTAATTGTAGGTTTTTTTGCTTTAGAAGCATACTCACCCTCTTATTATAGGCTAATCAGAAAGTGCTGCCTTTTTCAGATGTCTATTTTTTCGTGAAATTTCCAGATTCATTTGCACACGTTTGCGTATCAAAATTTCAACATGACTTCGGGTCGGGTCGGGTCGGTTTGTCCATCTTTTCAGTCGGGTCGGGTCGGTTTCGGTTTTGAATTTTCATTTTCGGGTCGGGTCAGGTCGGTTTAGCCATCTTTTGAAAAAACCGAAATATACCGAAATAAACCGAAACAGTTGAGAAATTTAGGTGATGCAATATTATTGACAGTCACTGTGACTGCAACCCTAGTGTGGCGTGGCCACCGAGCGCACTATCAAGTTCCCGATGCACATCATTAGGCCAAAAAAAGAAAAATAGTTCTGCTTCCGATTACATGCCTTTCAAAAATAGGGTCGGTCGGTCGGAAATTATTTTTTTTTTGCCAATTTTTTTTATGCAGATTGAATGGGGTATTCAATTATATGCGAAGTTTTAGCCTGAACTATTTCCATTGCACTACAAAAACTATACACAAAATGGCCACAAAAAGTGAATAAAACCTACCTTAATTATTGTCAATATATTTACGTTCAATAATTCGTAAAAATAATTGTGGGAAATTCAGGTCGTTCGCACCATAGGCACAACGCTAGTCAAGAAGGGGAGCTGGCCAAAACTCTGAAGTGTGTGATGCACTGTACATGTACATGACTGTGTGGCCCGCAGCGAACGGGTCGAACATTTCAGGAAACATGCTGCATTGTATCACTCCAAATACGAGTAGTGCAATCTCAAAATGAACTTGTGAACACGGAAAATACATACACAGACAAGCTAGATCAAATCTGTGAATTAACTTGCAAAAATGTTCTTTCTCCATCGGTGTTTTCTTGGCATTTTTACGATGTCTTTCTCAGCATTTTTACGATGTTGAGTCCGACCAGTTGACAGAGCACGTGCCTGCGCCTGCTGCATAGCCATGCTACTGCTAGCGCTATCGATCGCATAGCCGTGCACAGACTAGTTCCCGCCTTTTCATAATTGGTCCCTGTGCGGCGCGGCGGGAACCAGTCGTCGCCGCATTGCGCTTATTACGCACGTGATTATAGACAGCGAAGTAGTTGAATCGCGCAGCGAATTTGTAAAAATAACGGAGGTTTCTTTTGAAAAAATAGCGAATGTAAGTAAGAAAACAATAAATACAAGCATTTTTTGATGCAAAAGGGTTGTTGAGAGGTATTTTGTGAAGACAGACAAGACATAAGGTTTTAATTTTTATTTATTCAATCTTTTTTTTCTTTTTTTTTTGGAATTGCCGATAAAATGTTTAGGGTCGCAGCCTAAAAAAAGCGGGTCGGTCGGGTAACCGGAAGCAGAACTATTCTTTTTTTTGGCCTTACTACGTTGTAGAAACTAGATTGTAGAAGTTTCTGAAAAAATGGGACCCTGTATCCACAGTGTATCACAAAAATGGTCCATTTGCCCTCTATTATCTTTTATTATTATTTTTTTATTTTAAAGGAAGTTTGATTATGGCCTGTATGCGGAAGCTTTCCTCGGATACAATACGACTTGTCACCAGCTCACAAGTTATTACATCAGTTGTAAGCGTCATCAAAGAACTCATTGAGAATTCACTGGATGCAGGAAGTGACAATATTGAAATCAAATTGGTAAGTTGAGGTCTGCAGTCAAGGCATGATACCCTCAGTTAACATACATATACCTACACATGTACCACAGCCTGTCAAATTAGTGTCAATTGTACCAATATGAGGCCAGCTTAAAGAACTGTTAAAATCAATCGCCGGATAGATTTTGATGTATAGGGTAACTCTCCAGATTGTCACTGAGAGAGGGAGGGTTTTAAGTCAGAAGTTTTCATTAACCCTAACCCATAGAGTGATTTATTAGGACCTTCCTCATCACTCCTGCAAATTCCAACAACATACATGTACATTTGTATATGGTGTTGGAATTTGTTGGACTCTGATTATGGTGGTATGCCTAATCCAGTGTAAAGCAGTTTACTGGTGCAGTACTCATCCCACCAGATTCCAACAAACCCTGGTGTCAGTGGCGCACCCAGGATTTAGCTGGTGGGGGGGGGGGGGGGGGGGGGGGGGGGGGGGGGGGGGGGGGGCTCACCAAGGGGATCACCAAGGTCAAATCATGGGACTAAAAATCTAAAAATGATCATCAAGTCCCCGAGGGCCCCCCCCCCCCCCCCCCCCCCCTTGGGTGCGCCACTGCCTGGTGTTGGAATTTGATGGGATGGGGTTGTTTTTTTCTGTAATTGGTTTAAAAGTAAAGGAATTGCAATGGGTAATTTGTTTGGAGTCTTTCCGAAAATACACAAAGTTACTGTAGATGGACACAGGAATAATCTGGGTTCAAACAAAAATCATCCGGCCCCCTCCCCATTTTTTTGGGTAATAATCCCCCAAATCTCAGCCCTGGTCAGTTATCACAGCAATGTGGGCAATTAGTCTGCTATGTTCTACCCTTACTTACAATGCTTTTCAATTTCTGACAAAACCTTTAATCTGAGTTGTTGCTTTTCAGTTGGAAGATCTCTTACATTAGTGTCCAATCGTAATTTTAGTTATGTTTGAAAAGAAAAGCAGAGCTTAAATTTCATGCATTATTTTATTGACATGTACATGTAAGAGATCAGTTATTACATTTCCATTGTCTGTTATTCAATTAACATCAGATAAAATATAATACCATACACTTCCTGACAAAATAATAACATTAATTTCATTCATTTTTTAGTTGCATTATTTTGCAAATTAAACTTGCCCACTGTTCCACTGATCTGCTGAGTACATACAATCAGTGTTGAATTAAATTATAATCCCTTTTAGTTATTAAATGTGTTTTGGGGGAATTTTTTTCCCCCTTAAAGCTGAAGTAAAATCCCCATTCTAGGAAGCATTCAAACTTCAAAAGTCGACCTCAATTTCAATGACACATCATACAAGTAACAATAATAATAATAATAATTACATGTATTACATGTTTACATGTATATATGTGTAATATAACTGAAATACCGGTATATACCGGTACTGTACCATTAGGGAGACATTCCCATAGATAATAATCCGACTTTCGTGACCCCTAACCCAAATTTCCTGAATTTCAAGAATTTTCAGTATTTTTACCAATTGGACTGTGAGCAATCGATCTAGCCTTTTTGCGACGAGGAGCTGAGGCATTAGGGACATTGAAATGTCTCCTTACTTCCACATGTCCCCCAAAGGTATTAACTTCCCATGCTTTAAAGTGTATCCTAATTGGTATAATTTGCGATAGTATTAAATACTAATCCTATAGCCTATAGTGCAAAATCCGTCAAATTGATGCTAAAGATGCTTAACAATCAATAAGAATTAACTAAAAACCTTCCAAAACCTTTTAAAAAAACACCAAAATTGTTACAATAATAATACAAGCATAAGCCTATGACATCAAAAAAGATCGAAACAAATTAAAATTGAATGATTAGCCCATTAATAAATGTATACAATAACATTACAAAAGTTAAGAATGATTAGTGGTAAAAGTTTAACAGAAAAAAGGATTAACTCTAAAAAGGACTAACACTCAAATAAGATAATGAAGTACAATAAGACACGTAAACCTGTATACATACATGTACCGGTACATGTACATGTATGTCATGCCATGTGATGCGAGGGCCATCTCGGGACTTGGTTGCCACCCTCCACTCTTCCCTATCTCTCTCTCTTGTGTCACTGACACCAACGTCCATTGTCATGAATAACATGAATAACACCGAAAGTACATGTAAAGATAAAAATTCCAGGCATTTTCCAACTGATGAAGCTTTACGGTACAGTATGAATAAATCTAATCTCTTTCTATAAAACAAGTATATTATAACTACATTTGTACGTTGTAGTTACTCGAGCAGCTGTTCATACATCTTTGTGTAGTATGGCATTGTGAAATCAATCAGACGCTGAATATCAGGTGATGGGTCAGGTGACTTAGCAGGTGACTCAGGGGCCTGATCCTTGCTGCTTGGCTTTGCAAATCCTGTGCTGCTACGGAAATTCTTAAACCCATCTCCATTCAGGATAATGTGTTTGATTGGTTCACTCACAACCCACTTCTCAAGAACATCCACTCCCTCATCCCAAGTTAACAGTGAGTCAGTGTAAGGAATGCCCAACTTCTGACAAAACCCAGATAGTATGGTAGCTGGGTCACTAAGAAGGTCGTCAGCATCTATGATGACAGGGTCTGGATCCAGATCTTTCTCTTTGATGTAAGAGTACAAATCGTACATCTCCTTGAAAGCCTTCCCTGGTGGCATGATCTCTGCTGATAACTTGTCAATCTCCAATTGCTCCATGGTAACAGGGATGTTGTTCATCCTAAAGATTTCAAAAATGAGCTTCTTCCAGGATGGAAAAAGTTTAGCTGGGTTACGAAGGAGGAAAGCGTGGCGGTATCCACTCTCTGGAAGAAACTGAAACTTGCCCATTAGTGATGATACCATCTCCTTAGCAAAGACAAACTTCTTGTCCGGGTATCCTGTCTTGAGATGATGCTTTACCCATGCATTGCTGCAGATAGAAACTGGATAACCACACCCTGGGTCTTTCCGACGTTCATCAAGAATGTTCTCTGGAATATTCCGTTCAAGTGGTGCTATGTCCGTTTTTGCCAGTCTGTCCGGACCAAAGAGCATTGCAGTGCTATACAACTCAAAAATCATTTGTGAATCAGGAACAGCACTCATGCACTTGAGGAAAGCTGTGGACAGTGAACGTGGACAACACCACAGTATGACTTTGAGTTGATCTGACATGGTGATGATGCCACAAGCAGCCGACGTCAAATACTGGAATGTGAGAAATTGAGGAAAGACAGTTTTCAATTAGTGTGGATTTTGCCAAAATTGGGGAATAACTGTTGGCTGACGTGTCAAAACGTGTGAGTTTTGCCAGAAATGGCAGTAGGCTCGTAATGTATTGACCTGACACCGCCCTTGCAGGTGTCGCAGAGGGTGTTCTTTGTTAGAATGCACAAAAGGTTTACCATGTTTACTCAGACTGAAAAAAAAGATTGTGTTTATGGTAACCTGACCTTCCTGGATTGCCAACCTAAAACTTTTTATGGCCACATTCGACCAAAATCTAAAACAAAATATGTTTCCCTACCCAAATTGTTTGTTAAAAACTTCCTAAAGTAAACAAAGTAAGTACATACATGTATAACTGTAACAGACAAACATAATAAAGAGTTACAACCTAACATTATTTTCCTACATGTGTTTATGAACCGGTCTGTATAATTTTTTAGTGTGACAACAACGCAGCCTTTTGGGCCTTATGCCTATAATAATGATGCTGACATAGCGCTTTACACAAAATGTCCCTAAGCGCTATACAAATTTTAAAAGATCTTTAAAAGAAAGAGGTAATTTACAAAATGACCTTAAATTCCTACCTGAAAAACATGAAAATGTCCATGCAAAGTATAAAAAAGTTACACGCAAGACTTAAAACAGTAAAAACAGAGCTCTGGTTAAGTTAAAAATGGGGAAAACCATACACGTTTTAAAGTAATAACCACCGCCCTGTACTCTGCCTCATGCAATGTACATGTATGTAAGTTCAATTGTGTCAAATTGCTGCATAACAGGCCACATCCGTGAAGTGCTAACCTGTATTGTAAAATGAATACATACCACTACACCCAAGGAATGCAGAAGAAATACAATAATTTCGTCCTGGATTTCAACAATACATGTAGTAAGGGCACCAGCCCATGGGTTTGCATAATCCCTCACCAAGAGCCTGAAAACTTACAGTAAAGTTTGTCAATGGTATCAAAGGTCACTAGTTCTGTACATAGTAGGGTAAACTGGGGTAAAAACGCCCGATTTTTAGGTTTTTGTTAAATATCTCAGTACTACTTGGAGACACTAGGAAATAAACATGTGGTTTTATGCACTACATGTCTCCTCTATCAGGTGCAAATATAAAATCATGGTCATTATATTGATAAGGGGAAATTTTCCCCCCTTTTTGGGATGAAGTTTGGCGGGCGTTTTTACCCGGGCCTCGGGGTAAAAACGCCCGCCCACATTTATAAAAAAAAAAATGAATATACCACAGCTTTCCCTGTAGTATAGTCATATTTTTGTGATTAATTTAATATTGAGGGATACTTCATCAAGTACAAATAACTTTTCAAACACAGCTGGTTAATTATAACTACAAACTTGATCATTTAAAACAGGTATTTTTATGTGGAAGGAAGCGGAACATTAGCGTACATAATTCACCCATAACAAACTTGTATAATGTATAATGCCTGCCAATATTGAAAATCTATTTCAATCATGTTGAGCCAAAGCATAGTCAATATTATTAGGCATTCCATAGTATGTTTCTAGCCTACTGCTGATAACCTAAGGCTACATCAAAGGAGAACTACTAAGATATGCAAATCTCTGTAACAACGAGACCGATTTCTTAGAGCAAAGAAATGCAATCATGGAGAAACTTCTACTCTGTAACCACAAGAAAGAAGAAATTGCCAGTCATAAATGATGTAAAATTTGAAAACTGTGAGCAATCATGAATGAAACACGACCAAAAGAACCACCTCTAGTCTTCAAGATAATCTACACACCACACATCAAAACCAAGCAGCTACATGTAACAAAAGCATTGCTGCAAGACTGACATTTAATTTCGGAACACCCGAAATTATGCAATCTCAGCGAACCAATTCCTGCCTATAAAAAGGCCAAAAGTCTGAAAGGTTTACTTGTCAAATCAATGTTTATCGTTAACCGGGAATTGGACTCATCACGAGGTTGACACAAAATTATATTACATGCACTTACCGGTATCTATGCACTGTAACATTTGACACGACTTTAGCCGAATATAAAATACCGATATTGGCTTACTACTGATGAAGCTCTGCTAGTATACATGTAGCATGAGAGCAGAAACCGGTCTAGTTGGGTCTTAGAACCATTTCTAGTCATTTTTAGTTATTAAAAGTATACTCAAATCACCATAAAGGTGTTATTTTGTTTTTTCTTGAGAAAATGCCATGAGCTCATGGTTTCTCGGGCATTCCCTACCAAATGCCAGATACCTTGCCCCTACGTAACGTCAGTTAGTGATACCGCCTGCATGTACCTCCCCACTTCACACAATACACTGTTCAATATTTATGGGGTAGGACTCTAATAGCTAATAATTACTCATACAAGAGACATATGGCTGTAGAAAGTTCTAATAGTGAGGTTTTTGATGATAAATGAGGCTGCAATAGAGTTTTATGTCAAGAAATGTACTGGGCGTTTTTACCCCGAGACCCCTGATTTTGCCCGGGGTAAAAACGCCCACTCAAAAAACATTATTAAGCAAATATAAAAATAGATTTTATTATTGTTATCATTTATAATTATGTAATTAACCCTTCTTAACATATATCAACTAAAGAATAATAAAAAAATAAAATACTCTTTTTTATAAAATGATTTTAAGCGATATAGGCTAAACCTTCGACGGTCATTTTTTGAAACTTTTTTTTCAAGTTTTTTTTCAACAGCACCTACGTACCCTTCAAATATATTAATGAATTTAATTCTTTTTATTATTAATTTTTATTTACATTGTACTTATTAGAAATATATTCCATTTAGTAATTCATCTAATAATGTTTTACTAGCAGTGGAAACAATTCAAGTGGGCGTTTTTACCCCATGGGCGTTTTTACCCCAGTTTACCCTATACAGTCATCCTATGGAAGATAATTTAAGGTTATCATTGCCCAGATTAAGATTATCAATAACATGTCACACAACAGAAACCTTCATATTGCATTTAAATGTTCATTCAAGCTGATTTTATTCAGTGATACTACGCGGAGTTTAATGAAAGGTTTCATGAAGTCGGCAGGCACAGCTTTTGCCTGCCACTTACTGACTAAAATCAACAGTTGGCACTTTTAGGCAAAAAAAATAAGTCTCCGGTTTCTGGTATGGAGCTTACCCCAAAAGTGGTGTGGCGACGCGGCTTTTTTTTTTTTTTACCTGTTTTTTTTTTTTTTTTTTTGGCTTCAAATGTCGGCTGATGACTGCAAATGGTGCCCGACTAAACTTAGTGCAATATATAGGAGTCCAGAGAGGCCACATAAAGCTTATTCTCGATCATAACCCCATCTAAAAACACGTTAAAATTGTGCAGCAGCAGAATTCCAGTCAAACCAGTGAGTTTGGCGGTTTTGAGACATCATCTTGTATTGAAAAAAAAACTTTTTCATTTTGCCGACGCGCATGGCTACGGCGACGCGCGCGCATACCAGAAACCGGAGACTTTTTTTTTTTGGCCTTATTGATACTACATTGTAGCAGGGTGCCGCGCGAACACTAGCTTGGTGAAGTAGCCACTTCCCCCTCCCTTCCCCTCCCCCCCCCCCCCCCCAAAAAAAAAAAATCATAAAGAGGTGTATAAGAAAAACCTGGGGCAAATCGACCAGGGATGAGTTCATACAATCATCTGACCAGACAGCGAGACAGACGTTGGAAATTTCCGAAATATCTGAATTATTCATTATCCCTGATAAATTCCCCTGCATGCACATCACCTACAGAGAGCTACATATGTACATTTTGTATCTTTGCAATTGAAAAGTGGAATTAGCGAAAACTTGCTCAAGGGATTTATCATCGTACATTGTTTGTTGCTGTGAATCTGAGAGGAATGATCAGTGTGCCCCCAATTGCCGTATGTTTACTTTGATACCATTTGCATGTTGACCCCAAGTGGGCGTGGTATTCCTTGGTTTTTTGAACATTTTTAATTATCAACGTTGTGTTTTGCGTAATTACAATGCATTAAAGAGTTTTTTTGTCTGAGTATTGAATTGCGTATTTGTTTGATGATTCTTGCAGGAAAATTATGGCTTTGATAAAATTGAGGTGCGAGACAATGGGAGTGGCATCAAACCCATTGATGCTCCGTTTATGGCGCGACGACACTTCACATCCAAGATATCCCAGCATGCTGATCTAGAATATCTAGCAACATACGGTTTCCGTGGCGAAGCTCTGGGATCACTCTGTGCCATGTCTTCAGTTACCATAGTAACAAAGACACAAGATGATGAGTTTGGACGCCATTATGTTTTGGATCACGAAGGAGAAATTGTCACATCTAAACCATCTCATCTTGGAAATGGTTTGTACAATTAAATCTTTCTTAGTTGAACCCTAAGAAAGGCTCAGAATTTGGATGTCATGACACACCTCTTCCAGTTCACCTTTACTTTCGGATGGTATTAGCAGAGGGTCAGTGTACAAATCTTAAGCTGAATCTTGAAATAAAGGTGGCATTGTCATAATTTTAAAAGCAACTTCATATTTGTTTTCTTTGGGGATTTTTTGTTCTGAGTTGTTTTCCCCTTCTAGGAAGCTTGAAGATACTTGAAAATATTCATTTTACGTGAGTCTGTATTTCAGTGCTCCTATTCTATTTGATTATGACTTCAGGAACTACTGTGACTGCGATGCATTTATTCAAGAATGTTCCGGTTCGCAAACAGTACTACACCAATGCCAAGAGAAGAAGGGATGAACTGAAGAAAGTAGAGGAGTTGGTAATGAGCTATGGTGTCATACGTCCTGCAGTACGCTTCGCGCTCAGTCATAACAAGAGCTCCCTCTGGCAAAAATGTAAAGTAGCCAATCACAAGGCAGCTTTGATAAACACTTGGGGATCTAGTGTGATGTCTCATATGCAATACATACAGCGATTGGACGACGAGACTGAGGTAAGATGAACATATTTCTCGCTCCGATTTTAGAGGTTTGAAAATAGCTGTTTTTCTTTTTGTAAAATAGTTCCTTAAACATCACAGCTCAGCCCTTTACAAGCACTTGGTAACAGTATATATAATGAATGTTTTTTATTGCAATGGTAAGAATAATTTCATTAGGTGACGGGTGGAATGTTTTTGGAAGGCTGAGTGAAATGGAACAATCCATCTGTTAACAATGAAAACAAAATATTCTTTCCGTTGCACAAATGTGAAAAATTTGGCATTTGTTTTATACAACGCCTGAATAAATCATTGTCAGCTGATTGATAAGTTGTGTGAGTGTGTAATGGAACTTCAATTTTGTGATGCGGCTGGGCCATGGGTTGGGACGGGATGAATACTTAAATGACTCATGGTCAATGATCCACCAATCAGATGACAGGTATTTATCCAGGCATTGTATAAAAGATAATAAAGCAATGCTCAGACATTAACAATTTTTCAGTACTCGAGAGGATCTCGTAGACTCGAGAGAGAATCTCATAGATGGGTACTAATAACTCAATCTTTGCCCAAACCCAGTCACACTCAATAACAGGTGGGCAATTCCATCAATTCCATATCAGACACTTTAACCCTAATGAGATGCTGTTGGGAAAGTGAATGTGATGCGTATACATGACGTTTAATGAGTAGAAAACAATTACAGTCGACTCTCGGTAATACATAGACTGTTAAAACAAATTCTGGTTTAGCAAACTTAAATCCTTGGAATATTGCAAACTTAATTTCAGTTTTCACGTCGTGTAGCTCAGAAAAATTTGTTGCTGCACGGTTACCCATGGTCAGAATTTTATTTTTTTGGCATCAACAGATGCGCAAGACTCCAGGCTAAAAAGTCAGGAAAGCTCGGGTTGGGAATTTTTGTATTTGCAAGGGTTTCGCCGAAAAAGTTGAGGGAGCTGGGGACGGCTTCTGCACCACCCCCCCCCCCCCCCGGCCCTTTTAGGGTTACTATAAAATTCAGATAAAACATATATTTTGGTTTGGTCTAGCTGAGTTTGTATTGTGAGAGTCGACTGTACAGAACCACCTTAACAACCTTGTACATGTACTGTACATCATGTGGTCGGACATACATGTACACCGCACTCTATGGCATTGTCCAGGTAGAACAATTTCCAACCTGACTCACGATGACTTAACTGATTAACTTCTCAATTCAATACCTGTAGGTGCGAATAGAAGGCTTTGTACCAAGTCTATCTGCAGACAGCCAATCAGCATCAAGAGCTGTATCAGACAGGTGTTGGATTGCAATCAATGGTCGACCAATCATCTTCAAGGATATTGAGAAGGTATGAACTAAATACCTTAGTATAACCACACTCAATATCACAGATACATGTATGCCACAGTGAGTTACATGTAATCCTGTTTTAGATGTTCTCAACTTTGCTTTATTTCATTTTATTTGCACCGTAGATGGTGAAGCAATCATACTGTCAAGCAGTGAAGCATGACATGGTGTCCGTCCGTTATTTGGTCATGTTTATAAGCATCAGCCTACCTCAGCATCATGTGGATGTGAACCTGGAACCAAATAAAACTAAAGTAATGCTTCAAAACAAGGTAGGAGTCACTTAAAGGACTGATGAGACGTGATTGAGGTTGGTTTTTCTGTTGAGCTCAAAACACCTATGCGATCCAATGCAGGGGTTTTCCTTAGCGGTCGCCCGCTCGCCAAATGCGAGTGAAAACAGCGGCGGGCGAGTCAAAACCCTCCTCTCAGTAGTCCGACGGGTGAGTCAAAAAACTGTTTAAAAAAAATAAAAATAACGAAGTTTTCCCTACACTATTTTTCAATCAATCAAAATAAAAAGTTAAGGGTGATACAACACATGAATACTTTTGCCACGCCGACCGAAATAAAAACATCGGTAGTTCGAATTCGTATCACTCCATGTATATTCGCAGTGCGCTGTGCATTGAAATCCCAACGACGAACATGAGGCGAATCAACGTGTATTTGCCATTACACATTGTGCACACATGCAGCGCACGTGATTTACTTGTCTGCAGTCCACACGGTACGGATGTTAACATCGTATTCGTATCATACAACGTGGCGAGGAGAAAACTTTCATGACAGTTTCACTGCCAAAACTTGTGCCCGAACGGATTCTTGGGATGATTTCTTGAACACTATCAAACGAATGTACCGAAAAGATGAGGACAATATGAGATCCGAGGGGCCTATTTTGAATGTAAAGACTAGTGAATGTAAAGTGGACCGTGCTCCGGAAAACGTTATGGATTGACGTGACCAGCGTAAGTTCGTGGGTCGCCCGCCCGCAGCGCTTCTTGGCTAGGCACGCTGATTGCACCATTCTTCGCTAGAAATGCATGGCGCGCGCGAGAGATTTTTTTTGAAAATACTGGCCTTCTCACTCATTTTTAAACAAGTTAAAACAGTTCAGTTACTAACTTGGTAAACTCCCATTAATACCACGACTGTGTGCAATGTTATCTTGTTCCTCAAGATAACGCTTTTTTAGTTCGTGTTTTATCAAAACATGTCGGAAATAGAACACCTAAAGCCTTAAGTTCGGAACGAAGCACACTGCATAAATTTTGATTATAACTTCTCCCCCTATTTGATTCCTGTTAATTAAAGCCTTGCTCTATGTTAAAGCATGGACGATTAAAGAAACATTGACATCACTTATTGAACTACATGCAATATTATGTACATGATTAAGCTAATTGCCGATTGTATTCATATTGCATAATTTATTATCAAAAATGTTATCAGAAATGCTTATGGTGAATTGATCGAAAGTTACTATTAAAACATGTGGGCTAGTGAAAAAGGTTGCGGGCCAGTGAAAACTCTGGTTTACTGGCCCGGCCGGCCAGTAAAGGAAAAAGTTAAGGGAAACCCCTGCAATGGAAACCTAACAGTGGCTAAGTGTGATAACACTCTGTGTAATTTTTTGAAAGATGTGGTTGGATTCACTGGGGTGAAGGTTTACTTTCTCTTTCTGCAGTTTCAATCTCAAGTCTTTTTCTAAGTAAAGTTCATTTGTGAACAGCGAATTTTTGATTTTGCGAAATTACAAAAGTTAGGAAGTCCTGATATTTTGATCATGATTTTTCTTAAAGGCTGAATGACAAACACCTTTAGTAGTTCCTTTTTAATTTGAAATCAGGGCTAGTTATTCAAAAGTGGTTAAAAATGAAAAGATCATGTTCAGACCTCGCAATGGATGTCTGTTATTTTACAGGAAGTTGTGTTTTCGGTCCTGTCCGATTTATTGGATGAGGTTTATGGAAGAAAAGCAGATGACCACATTGCTGATGTAGTCATCCCAAACTCCACACACCAACAGGCCAACAACATTCAACCAGTAGATAACTTGCCAACTCAACTAGGGTTTAATGACAGAACTCTCTGCAACACCAACACCGCATTTGAAGACAATCATGTACCTACATGTACTTCTGATGGTGGTGTTAAGAATGAAAATACGTGGTCTATTGAGAAATTAGACTGTGAAAGGGAAAGTGCTGTATATCAAAGTATTAATCTTGGAAAGCCATCTCATCAAGATCATAACCATGATGTTCCAGTGTGCAAAGCCACCGAGGAGCCAAAGGGGATCGCAGAAACACCTTGCTCTGCACAAAATGTACCCACCACTACCAAGAATCTTCCGAGTGCATCCAATGATCAGACTGTCGGGGACAGCATACAACAAAACATATTCCAGCTGAATTTTAGTATCTTTGATGATGTTGATTTTGAGCTGGAGAAAGTGGATGAAACTGCAGCAACTATTGCTTTGGATGAAGCAAAGTGCCCAGAAAGTGACCTAATGAACCAAAATGTTTTACATCAAGCAGACAATACAACAATGTGTGATTATCTAATCGAGGAAACTGCTGGAAATGTCCAATCAGTGACATCATCAGTCAATCTTACCGACTGGAGTAAAGGAAGAGGACTAACAAACAAAGATGGCAGACCACTTGAACCTGCAACACTCCATATCCCCAGGAAAGCGGTTGAGGAGAGACTAGTAACCAATCACATTGAACCAGGTCAACTTTCAACCAATCAGAGAACTTCAAACTCTGAGTCACCTTTTCAAGTTCCAGCAGATTGTACAAACACAAACCAGAATAAACTGGCCAGGATACCACACACTGTTACTTTGGGTAACAGCATGACATCATCATCATCAACCAATCAGGAAGCAGATGATCTTACACCAACCAATGGGAAGAGAACATCACCTAAGCGGAGACCCTCATTGGAGAAGAAGATTGGAAAAGGAACTATGTACGATCTCATTTGTGGCTCACCGATTCGAAGACCTCAGAGTTCATATGAGTTTTTCTGCAAGGAAATGAGACCACTGGGTAAGAAATTTAACCTCAAAGATGGCTGTAATACAAAGGATCTATAGAGAATTGCATGATATGATACAAAGGGAACTTCTTCTACCTGTCTGTCTCTGTTGTCCCCTCCAAACCAAAACCATTTTGAAATATATTCAGAAAAAATTTAGAGGCATTTTGAAATGATTATATACAGCCATAAATTGAAGTGCCCTCTTGATTACAACTTGAAAATGACAGACCTGAAATTGGAAAGACACTAACAAATATTTCAGACCTTGCTGATTACATCTATATCTGGGTGCAACATGCTTGTCTCAGGTTGTGCAGTTTCCTTCTTGTAGTGTTCACTTTGAGGTGTTACTGGTACATGTAATGCAGCACATTTTTCTGATTATACATGTATTTCACAATAGTGTTGGGGGAGAACCCAAGAGCTAGTTTTAACGACATCACAAAAGTTGTGGCCGAAAAATGGAGACAGTTGGAAGAAATGGAGAAAGCAAAATATGAGGAGAAATCAAGGAGAGATACAGAAAGGTAGAAATATTATAATACTCAAAACAAAACAATGTGTTTTTCTACATTTCTAAAGCTCGAGCCTCCAAATATTTCGCTTAACTCCCACCCTAAAAAATATATATATTTGAATTTTTTTTTATTTGCAAAATTTTCTTTTAAAAAGCACAACTTCGGTTTGAGAAAGTTCCCTTACCTTTGCCTGTCAATGAGAGAATTTTCATATGCCAGATTTTTTTGTAATCGTGTTGCAGACATCGCAATCAATTGGAGGCAGCTCAGAAGAAACTAGGCTTCAAGCGTGGAACAGGTTTAGAGGCACCTCCAAGCAAAAAGAGAAAGATTACTCTGGTAAATACCATTCTTATCCTGAAGGCTAATGATATACATTGTGTATACTTGTCTTTGATATTGTCCACTTATGATTGTTGTTGATGGCCTTGCGATTACAAAGACACAAGATTAGGTTTGCCTAGTCGAGCTGGACCTGAAAGTCACAGTATAGGACTTTCATTCTACTCGGTTACTCAGTCAGTCATTCATTCATTCAGGCCCATTCTAGATGCCGTGGTACTGCCACACCGAATTAATTGACACAAGTTCAGCAACAGATCATTTACAGCACGACAGCTGCTCTAGACGTCAAACTTAAAAGTCAAACTTTAATGCATCTGTAGTAACTGGCCAGGTTACTTCCCTCGGTTCAGCTGATTTCCTCTTTTTCGGCAGGTATGAAACCCGTCGTGGGCTTGAGCTGCTTATGTTGGTTGGTGGGTGGGTGGGTGGGTTGGTTGAGTGGTTGGTGGGCACTTTACTCAGCCATATATTGTATTCATGCAACTCGAGTATTACAGCTTTGCACTCGAAGACTGGTTTTGCAAACACTGATGCGCATGGGTCTAATTTGCATATTTTTGTTGCATGTTAGATCACAACCCATTAATTTTCTGTTCTCTTGAGGCCCGGGTGCACGGACGGTGCCGTAAGCTGTCCTCACACGTTACCAGTCCGCCATGGGTTGTACCACTTTAATACTTCCCATGTGTGCTATTAAAAATAGATAAAAGTGTGCAAAGTCTTGAAAAGATTTGACTTTCCTCTTTTTGTGTGACTTTCCAGTTGCATGCCCAGCAGTTAAATGAACTTTCAGTGCGATCAAAATATTCTCATCAAATTTACTCACAGTGATGCGGACGCGAGAGAGGGTATTGTGAGCATGTGTATTCCTAAAATGTTTGCCCTTACTTTGAATTGAATTGAGTTAAGCACGGCAATGGCACAGTGCCGTGCCACTGCCGTTAGGAGCGACAATACGCGGCAGCCCTGTCGAGCCAAAAGATGGTACCATGCCGAACTCAATGTGCTGAGCCAGATGTTTCTAAACACTGTGTGATTGCCGAGCCATCCTGAATTAAAAGAAGTCGTATTTCATTGCGTTTGGCAAGGTAGTAGCATTGCGTCTTGAATGGATCTTAGTGACCCAGTCAGTCAGATGAAAAACAGGCTGGCCATTCGGTTCCAGAAAAAGATATGCTCACTCTGTTGTAACTACAAGCTGCTTGTCTTGTCTCTGTCTCTCTGATTGATTGGGGGTTTTTCTGCACCAATTTTTCTAATTTTGTGTCCATTTCTGTTCCAGGCATCGAATCAGGGACTGATAGATAAGATGCTGCTGTCACAGCAACAGCGGGAATCAGCCAATCAACTTCTACCGACAAAAGCTCCTGACATTCCAACAGTTAATATAACATTCAATTTGATTGGATTAAGAAGAGAGTTTGAAACTCACCAGCAGAAAAGGTAAGTGGAATTATGCCTTTCAAAGTTATGTCCACATTTGAAAAATCAACGCTTAGTATAGATTGCTAAGGGTGTGTATTTTTGTTTGTTTGTTTGCTCACGAGTTGATCTTTAACGAGATAATTACCGGCGAAGCAAGTGACTTTCCTGCATAGCAGGCGATTCGCCTGCGAAGCCTGAATAGGCAAATCTTGTCTCTTTAATCATGTTAATATTTCTTCACTTTCAAGAAAAGAGAAACGAGGCCATCATTTGAAAAATCTCTGTCATATTTCTGCACTGTGGAGAATACAGAAACAAGGTTCCAACTGTATTATACCTGTAGACACATTACTTTTGTTTAACCTGATTGAAACACAATCCATGTACATGTATTCTCAATAGTACAGGTCAATCTTTGAACTACTTACTTTCTCATAGGAAAACTGATCCTGATCAAAGACTCAACCTGATTGGTCAGCTTGCATCACATGATGTGTGGCTGGCTCACCATGGTAACCAAGTGGTGGTTTTCAACCAATACAGGTAAACCATCCTGTCACTTATTACTTTATTAGTTTACCTCATCTTACCAATCACCTTTTGGTACGCAATGTATGTGTAGAGGGTAAGGTTGCCAAGGACTGTCTCTGGTGATTATAAGAAAATGACACCATAAGGGAAAAGATATGGAAAATTGATTTCATGTACATGTTGCAAGCAGGAAAGCCAGTAATTGACTTTTGTCCCTTTTTGTCCCCCCCCCTCCTTTTTTCTTGGTTTACAGGGTTGAAGAGACCCTGCTGTTTCACAGGCTACTGGCTCATCACATGTTGCCATGCCAACCTGTTGAAGTCCCTGTTGTACTGTCACCAAGGTAAGAAGCGTGGTCTGCCGTCTCATGTATGAACGTAAGGCTGAGCTGTACATGTGTAGTTAGTGAAGAGCATTTGGGTTTGAATTTCATGTCTAGAGCTGGTGACTATACTAGGTCTTTGACAGGCACGTTTGCAACAAGAAGCACATAAAACAGCGTCATCTTTTTGTCTGTTTACTTTTATCCAGCATGGTAGGCGGTCATGACAACTGGGCTACATTACTTGAGATGTCCAAACGAGTCAATCCACCGGACCCTGCCATGTACTACACTGATACTAGACTCACAGCCAATGGATTCACAATCAAACAAACAGTGGGTAAGATGCTTCTTCCTATGCAGTCAGATATAAGCAGTGGCGTAGCAGTGGCGTGGGGGGGGGGGGGCAAATGAAACCTTGTCGCCCCCCCCCCCCCCCCCCCCCCGTCGGCCCCCCACTGAGATTTTAAGTTTCTAAAAAATTATCATTGATCTACATGATGCCCCCCCCCCCCCATGAAATGTTCCAGCCCCCCCACTGAAAAATTCCTGGCTACGCTACTGGATATAAGTGACTTTTGCATACAATCCTCTTACTACTTGAAATAACTTGGTTATTTGCATAATATTTCCCTTCAAAAGATAAGTTTAAGTCATTTCTTTTCATATATATTTACTGGCCCATCATTCATCTCATTCAAACTCATTTTCAGATTCAGAAACAGTGGAGGTCAAAGTACAGGTCATTGCTATGGCAACCACCGTCAGTTGCTATGGTATCCAGGACCTTCAGGAATTACTGGAGTTAATAACTACAAAGCAGTCTTGTACTCTGTCGCAGTGCAGACCACTGAAAGTAGCCAACTACCTGAAAGTAAGTATGCCATTGTAGACCGGTTGAATGGCTTTGGGTACTGTACATGTATGTAAAGAATCTTAATTTACTAGCGCAAACAGTAATGCCCCAACAGTCTCCATATTTGACAGGTAAACAAGGAATTTTGCAAACATCCTACATTATCCTAGAATTCAAAATTCCATTGTCCCAGACTCGACAAGGAATTTCTTGGCTGTCACTGTGAGAACATGCACCAAATTTGGAGGTTGGACATCGTTTCCACTAGATTGAGGAATGGTACACTGCATTATGTAACTGATACTGTCACTGCTGCATTGTGGCAGCCATTTTGATTGATTAGTGCACTATATGTGATGTTCAGGAAGGCCGAATAAGGACATTTGTATGTGATTGCATCAATTGCATTTTGTTGATCAAGTCAAGTCAAGTTTATACAGATCTTTTTTTTTGTGTCTGTTTTTGGCTATTGCCTTCATGTACAGCCAGCCCACATGAATCACCTCAGAATGACAAAAACCTATGCTATTCATTACTCATCCTTTGTAGTCAAAATGAGCGTGAGCTTTTTAATTTGGTGACTTGTAATTGAGATCTACTGAAATATACTTCAAAGTCAGAATGTTTGACTACACAGCAAATTGAACGGAATCTGCGCTTACCATAATAATATTTTCCAAGAGAGCAATATCCTGTAAATTTTTCAACCCTGCGTCTAATGACTCTTTGTTCTAAACCCAACTATGTTATGACAGTTCCATCAAGCTCAGAAAGAAGTAGAACATATGTGATCAAGCTAAATGAGTCGTTTGTCGAGAATTTTTATTTGGAGATACAGGCCAAAATAGTTCCACTTCATCACATCACTTCATCACATCTTTTGGTGTTCCAACATCCATAATTTTTGAACTAAAGACGGTATGAGCATGCAGTTTTTGCAGCAGTAATGCTGATATTGTGCTCTTTTCAAAACTGTAATAAAAGAAATTGACCAGGGTCAACAAACGACTCATGTAGCTTGATCGCATCACATATGTGCCTACAGTTAATTGATTAGTTTTCCTTCTTCTATTATTCCTTTTAGGGAGAAGCTGTTCGTATGGCACGTAATCTGCCTTCAACCATGCTAGAAGAAGATGTTCAAAATGTGATTGAACGTATGAAGCAACTTCCAAACCAGTGCAAGACATGTCTTCATAACCAGCCATTCACATATCCATTGTTTGTGATATCCGAATCTCAAGTGTGATTTGGGAGGGGGGGGGGGTATCACGCACAGGGAAATGCTAAACTAAAGAGTTTTTTTCCATCTTTAAATCGGAATGAAATATCCTTTGCATGCATGTTGGAATCGGCATAAAGGCATGTGTAACCTGAAAGACTGACACACTATGGGGGAACTTGTAAAACTAAAGATTCAATGGGGATTAACTAACAAAACTAAAGTAAACCCAGGATTTTTGAAAGGAAAAGTCGTGAGGAAATTGAATTAATAGAGATAAGATTCACATTCTAGGTTTGAAACCAAAGGAGGACAAAAAGAATTTATTTCCAAGAACTTCAAGAGACAACCAAAATGACCAAATGAAAAAAAAAAAAACCACGAGAATTATGACTAAAATTTACTAAAACATAAAGCCAAACCTAAAATCAGAAACCAGAAACTAAACGCAAAGATTTAACCTAAAACAACCTAAAATTGAGACTAAAACCCCAAAGCCGATTCAAATCCACTAAAACAACAATGCGTTGGTTTGACTAAATAATTTAAGACCGCAAGTGACCCAAAAGAAAAACTCTTAAAAAAAAAAGAAGACTTTTCCCTATTAAAACAATTTTGGTTAAATTTTACTTAAAAATATATATATTTCCTACCTGGATTCTCCACCAAAAATAACCTGCAAAAGTGACACACTGTGAGGAACTCGCACTAAACAGACTCTATTGAGATTTACTAATTAAACAAAACTAAACTCAGGATCTTTGAAAGGAAAAGTCATGAGGAAATTGACTTTATAGAGACAAGTTCCAGATTTCAAACAAAAGAGAACCTATTTATATGGAACTACAAATCAAAAACTAAAAAAGCTTAAAACAAAAATAAACCCTAAAACAAATAAAAAATAACTATATCATAAACCAAAGTCTTTCGGCCGATACAGTGATTTGTTTTCTTTTTTATCGAAAAAAAAATATAAATTGTGTTTTATCGTAAAAAAAATATAGGTTTTTGGATCGTTTTTTTTAAACATTCATGCTCTTTTCGTTTGGGTTGTATTTTTTTCTGAAAAAGTCTATGAAATCATGCAATACTGAAGAACTAAACATTTTCGTCTTAAGAAACTTGACATAAAGATGCAATATTCTTTTGAATATTTAATTTTCACCAATTCCTCTAGGGTTATCCATTATTCTAATAACAAATATGAATGTTTCGTTGACGAAATATTGGCGTATTTTAAAAGTATTAGTAGTAACTTGCATGGTATTCAATTTAAATGATTTTCAGATTGATATAAACATGAAGCTTATAATTTAATTTATAAATCTAATCTAATCTTGCACCATGTCCCGAAGGACGTTGGCTCCACGAATTTTCGCTCTCCAATCGTGTCTGTCTGGCGCTTGGTGCTGTTAACCATGAAGTCATTTGTCCATCACTTTCTTGGCCTACCCCGTCTAGGCATTGTTTCTAGCAGGGGGCGTCTAAAACTCTGTTGTTTTCCATCCTCGGTATGTGGCCAAACCAGACAAGTTGGGTTCAATATACAATGTATGTGATTGACATGTTTCCGAAACCCAGCGCAGCACACGCACATTTTTGTTACTTTTCCGTGGTCAATTTGGAAAGAAATGAACATTCACGCCGAATGTGCTTGGCAAGGGCGTCAGTTGCTTCTCAAAAGTGTGGGCGGGGGACCGGCACTACTGCAAGCGCGAAGCGCTAACGGCTGGGGTCGGGGCGCTCTTAAAGGCCCGGAAAATTTGTGGACTCTAGACCCTCTGTGGTGCGATCTAAGAAAATTTCTGACCACAGAAACCATTTTTGGGGGGCAAAATATCATCTTTTAAACATCATTTAATTTCGAGTTTGGGGTTATTGAATCAGCTCAGTAGTCTGAGCTATAGTATTATTATAGTATTAGTTGGCTACAATTTTTTTTCAGGGACGAAACAAGTGGGGATGATATCCCCCTACTTTAAAAAAAGTGGGGTACCTGCCCCCGTCCCCCACCGATTGACGTCCATGGTGCTGGGCAGAAATTGCAATATTCGCAAGCTCTTGATTTTTGTATCTATCTACGACAGTTTAGCGCCTTTTCAATTCATTTTGAACAAGCTTTAAGCACAGTTTGGCTAAACATTTCATTTTCGAGAACGCGCCTTCCGCTCGACATTTATTTAACAAAACTTATTAAAAATCGTTCTTTATTATGCCAAAATGTGCTGAGGTTTTGGAAGAACAGCAAGCACTGTAAATTTTTCGTTTTTATAACATTTGTAAAATTTAGTTTGAATAAATTTGTACATTGAAAAAATCACAACTCTGATCGCCTTATGTGCTATTTAATCATGTCAGCGTGTTTAACCAATTTTGTTTAATTGCCACGACCATGTGCGCCAGCCTCGACTCCAGGGGCGCGTGCTCGTTGCGCTGACTTGGCCATGAAGATCGCCCTGATTAGATGAGCGCATGCGCGCCAACTTAAACAACTCTGATTTTTATTACGCGAGTCTAGTTGCCATGCGCGCTCACTTGCAATTTCTATTCATGCAGAGCCTTCACACAAATGCGCATGCGCGCGGACTTAGTTTTTTTTTTTTTAATTGCGCAATTGCATCCGGACCTTTATATATTACTCCCAAACATTTCTTATTAAGAAGAACGCAATGGCCTAGTGGTAGGCACTCTAGCGCTCATACGGAAGGTCCCGGGTTCGATTCCCGCTGATTTCACTACAGGACCTTTTATTTCTTTTTAGTTTACTTATTTAATTTTAAAAAAGAGTAAAATTCTGTTTTATTTTATTTTATTTTATATAGTTGGGGTAGACACGCGATACAAAACTCGGACTGGCCGCAGGTTTCCCTGCAGCCAGTCCGGGTTGCCGCGGCCGAGACTCGAACCAGGGGCGCCGGCTTACCAATCGGCCCCTCTACCGCGTTCACTACCTGGGTCCCCCAGTGAAAATAGCACTTCCTATAATTAAAACCCTTAGAATCAATTAGTCGGTAATAAAAATAAATACCGCCCTCTTTATTCAAATTTATTCACCCAGCTTTCTAGTTCGGCAAGGTTCTGGACTTAGTTATAAATCATGAATTGGAACTCGAGTCTATGGTCTTTTAAGCTTGTGACAGATCTACCACGACACCGCTATTGGATATTGAAATAAATATACGAATTTAGTGAATTTCGTGGTTTCGTTCTGTTGGCCTACTTGAGAAAATAAAACATGGGCAGTAACAAGGGAACATGTGTAAGTGGTAGTTTAAATTCAAGTATTTTTTATCAGTTCACTTTTTTGCGTGGTAATACTGTAACTTATAAGGCAATAAGGGAAGGCAAGTACAAGGTATGTACACGTGTAAAATACAGGAATCACAACAGTTTACGTATTCGTGTGCCTCTGTACTCTAGGTATTTATTCCAACTGATACTTGTGTATTGGAACGTTTTACACTATATAAATAAATGAAGCACAATTAAAATGCAAGGTAAAACAATCACATATTGAAATGAAAAATGCCGTTTTCCTAAAAAAATTGCAAGGGGTTAATCTTGCATTTTGCATCAAAAACGACATTTTTCATCAAAAATTGCAAGGGGTTAACCTTACATTTTGCATAAAAAATTGACCTATTCATCCAAAATTGCAAGGGGTTCACCTTACATTTTGCATCAAAAACAGCATTTTTTTCATTAAAATGGCAAGGGGTTAACCTTACATTTTGCATCAAAAAACAGCCTTTTCATCAAAAATTGCGAGGGATTAACCTTACATTTTCATCCAAAATGGCATTTTTCATTAATTAAAAATTGCAATGGGTTAACCTTACATTTTGCATCAGTCAAAAAACGGCCTTTTTCATCAAACATTTCTAGGGGTTAACCTTACATTAAGCATCAAAAACGGCATTTTTCATTAAAATGGCAAGGTTAACCCTACATTTTTCATCAAAAATTACAATTTTTACAAATGGCATATTTGCATCAAAAAATGGCATTTTTTCCCTCAAAAATTGCAAGGGGTTAACCTTACATTTTGCATCAAAAAAACGGCCTTTTTCATCAAAAGTTACGAGGGGTTAACCTTACATTTTTCATCAAAAATTAAATTTTTTATAAAAAAAATTGCAAGGGGTTAACCTTACATTTTTCATGCAAAATGCCATTTTTCATTCAAAATTGCAAGGGGTTAACCTTACATTTTGCATCATAAAAATGGCCTTTTTCATAAAACTAATTGCAAGGGGTTAACCGTATATTTTTCATCAAAAATTACAATTTTTACAAAATTACATATTTGCATTAAAAAATGGCATTTCTTTTATCAAAAATTGCAAGGGGTTAACCTTACATTGTGCATAAAAAAACAGCCTTTCTCATCAAAGATTGCGAGGGGTTAACCGTACATTTTTCATCAAAAATTACAATTTTTACAAAATTACATATTTGCATAAAAAAATGGCATTTTTGTCTTAAAAAATTGCAAGGGGTTAACCTAACATTGTGCATCAAAAACGGCATTTTCATCAAAAATTGCAAGGGATTAAACTTACATTTTGCATCAAAAAACGGCCTTTTTCATCAAAAATTGAGAAGTGTTAACCTTATATTTTTCATCAAAAATGGCATTTTTCAAGGGGTTTACCTTACATTTTTCATCTAAAATGGCATTTTTCATTAAAAATTGCAAGGGGTTAACCTTACATTTTGCATCAAAAAACGGCCTTTTTCATCAAAAATTGCAAGGGGTTAACCTTACATTTTGCATCAAAAACGGCATTTTTCATTAAAATGGCAAGGGGTTTAACCGTACATTTCTCTTCAAAAATTACAATTTTTACAAAATTACATATTTGCATCAAAAAATTGCAAGGGGTTAACCTTACATCATTTGTACATTGTGCATCAAAAACGTCATTTTCATCAAAAATTGCAAGGGATTAACCTCACATTTTGCATCTGCACTTTTGAAGGGGTTTACCTTACATTTTACATCAAAAACAGCATTTTTTATTAAAATGGCAAGGGTTTAACCTTACATATTTCATTAAAAATTGCAAGTGGTTAACCTTACATTTTCCATCAAAAATGGCATTTTTCATCAAAAACTGCAAGGGGAACCTTACTTTATCCATCCAAAATGGCATTTTTTCATCAAAAATTGCAAGGGGGTAACCTTACATTTTTCATCAAAAATAACAAGGGGTTAACCTTAAATTTTGCATCAAAAACGACATTTTTCATTATAAATGAAATTACATGTAGCTGGCAATTTGGAACACTGGAATCGTACTTGATACAAAATTGAACTCCTGCACTTATTTTTATAACCATAGGTATTTGACAATTGAAAGTTGGGTTGCTAGAAACATTAAAGAACCAAATCAAGCATGTTTTAATCTATTTGTGAGAATTTAGATTGCGTTTTTGATGAAATACCAGAGTTGAAAATGTTTTAAATTTGGCAACCGGTTAACCTTGCAAAATGTTTTAAAGTTTGACCACATTTTTACTTTGACAAAAATCTCTAAGAAACACCTTCAGAACCAAATCAAACATATTATAACCCTTTCAAGTGCATTTACAGAGCATTTTTGATGAAAAATCAGGCTTCAAATTTGCTTGTAAAATTGGCAAGTGGGGTTAACCTTGCAATGTTACTTAAAAGTTCGATTCCAATTTGACTGAGTTCAAAATTACTCGGAAACATCTTTTGAACAAAAACAATGATAAATCTATCCTTTCTGAAGTTTAACATGTCATTTGAAATTTTGGTGAAATATGTGATTTAAAAAAACTAAAAAAAAAAAGATTTTGGTAAAAATTTGACATTTCTCAAAATCACTCAGAAGCACCTTTAGGATGGAATACGCACTTGCCAATCTTTTCTATTCCATGTGGAGCATAACTTTGATGAAAATCAAAGTTTGTAAATTTTGCAAGCATTAGCATTGCAAATTTATAAAATTTTTGCTAAAAAAATTATTGTGCTCGAAAATACCCAGAAACACCTATCAAACAAAAGCACACATCAGTATTTCATTGTTTTCAGGGGCATCAGGAGTGCTTTTGTGGTGAAAACTTAACATTCAAAACAAACAAAAATGACAAGGGGTTAACCTTGCAAATCAAATTCTCTTGTTTTGCCAAAATCTGGCATTTATGAATAAAGTCAGATTTCAAAGCTTTTAAAAAACGGCACAGGGTTCACCTTGCATAAAAATTTGGCCAAAATCTACAATTGTTTGTTGATACCATAATTGGTGTTACCATGGTGATAAATCAACATCCAGCTCCGCTCTTCCTTGGCAATTTGTCTCTATCAACATCAGTTGCCTCCTGGAATTGGAAAAAGGTTCCCAAAAGAAAATAGCAAGATACATTTCCAGTGATATTACATTTTTTTCAACCTCTATAGCAAGTTAATTTAGGAGTTATTCACTGTTGAATGAGCCATTAAATGGCAGGGAATTGAAGTTTTGGATGATTTCTTTACAATATTAAAATTTGCACACCGACAGGGCCAGTTCATTCATGGGCAAAATAAGGCCCTTTTTAAGAGAGAGATGCAGATTCCAAAATTGGATAAAAAATAACTTAATTTTGACTATTTCAAACAAAACATTGAAATTGAGTTTGTTTAAAGGGAAAATACAACATTGGCAAACATCGAAAAATAAAACTACCAAATTTTTACGAAATACCTTACTAGGATGTTGGTAAATGACATGCTTAAGCATCCTGTATAATTATGGCACCTGGTGTGAATCCATTTTCAAGAAAATGGTATACATTGTATTTGTATACATTTCCAACGCTGGTCGGCAGACCACCGTTGGAAAAACCTAACTATTTTTCAATTACTGCTCCAAATTTACCATTTCTTTTTTTAGTCTAAATTTTGTTTTGCTAGCTATTGGTTCCATGTTCATGAACAGCTAGATTGGTTCCCTTACCGTACAATTTAGTATTTTTTATCCATTTCATCTTTGGTGGAGTCAGGGAACCAGACTACTTGAATCTTTTTGTTTTTCTTGTTTTTTCCAGCATTTTCGAACACAAAACTTCAAACATGTCAGTGTAACAATATTTGATCTATTATACTAACCCCCCAAAAAGTTCATTTCTGAAAATTACAGCAAAAGCCAATGATGTACATTCCCTTTAAAAGCATCGAACACACATCTTTGAATTTTTGCTTTTCCAATTTTTTGACTTAAAAGAGGCAACTTTTGGTGGGGCCAGTGTATGGAGCTACAATTTCATTATAAACAATTAATTTAAAAGCAAAAGCTATGAAAAAGGTTGAAGGAATTCCTGCCTAATGGTCTCAATTTTGTAATAATAAAGTATTCTTACCCGAAAATAAACATGCATGGTCTCTTGCTAATCCTGCCTTCGGACTGTTTCTTTAAATTTCTGTAATATAAAAAGTAAATCAAGAAATTCAGAACCAGTTATCAAACAAAGCATTAATGTAACATCTTGTAAAAACCTCTGGGCGATTGTCAGCTATGGTTTCCAGCCAGGAAGGGTTACATTTCGATAGGGAAGTAGCCGTTTTCGAAAGACGAGCTGTTGGTGATATTTGGTTTGGGGATTTCAGCAGTTAAGAAAGACAAGATCCTTATTGATTGAGAAAATAAGAAGCAATCCCTAAGCTTACTAGGATGATCGCCTTACTCACCTTGGGTAAAGATCATGATTTATCATAGCAGTTGCTGTTGTCTTCTGATTTGTCATGGCAGTTGCTGTTGTCTTCTGTCTATAGCTTCTTGCAGCCTCTGCTTTCAGGATGTGAGTTTTCAGCCGAGGATGACCTCAATAAATACAATAGAAAAAGGGGAAAGAGAAACAGTGTTATTTCTTAGCTTCACTTTTTTTTTAAGGAGAAAATAGAGAAACACAGAAAGTACCAATTACATGTAATGCGACCTTCTCAGTGAAAATTGCTTACATGTTTCATGATGCAACATTTAGAGGATTACTTTGCAAACAAAGAGCACACAGAAGAAACATTGCTAGTGTTTCATATACCAAATGTCTTCACTTTATTGTTTAGCATAACATTTGGAAGGACTTGTTATGCAACATAAGTCTGCAAATTTTTAAAAAAATTTATCTGTAAGTTTTGAATGTCAGAATCCATGCAGAATTAAGATATGAAGCAACATGTGATTCATGTTCAATGAGCAGGTCATGTCCTGGTTAGGTCAGTTTAAACAGGGCCACCATGAGAAGGTCCCAGGATACAAGCCACACATGCTTTGAGTATAGTTAGGGCTATATTGCTGGACAAATGGCAGGCCCCGGAGGGCCAGGCAATTGTTGACTGTCGGGTCCGCCCATCCAGCCCCCAAGGACCAGGAGAGTGCAAACACGGGCGCCACCCTCAGCCAATCCCCCTTTACGGGGTCTAGTGAGCTGAGGACGTAACAGCGTTTGCCAGCACTGATTACAGGGTTACGGCCCTATCAAGAGGGATGGAAATACATTATGCACCCGCACCTTTAACGCACTGCATCCTGGGGTTTCCAGGCCGTTGCCAGGACCCACACGCCATGTGGATGCAACCCGGGCCCTTTTAAGCTGTGCTACATTTTTACCGCACCTCAATTGAAGCAACCAGTCAAACTTCAATTATCAATCGATACCGCCACACCCATCTTAAGCCCTAACGACATAGATCCCATAGCCTTTAGTTTTCAGAGGGACATAACATCTAGAAAGTGAAATTTGCATTTTACTAATAGGTGTTACACATATATTTAAAAAAGTATGTCCCTATGGCTTGCTGGCTGGCTGTTATCTTGCTGTGGTTTGCTTCAAAAGAAAGTTTATGCCCTAAAGGCAGTGCACTAGATAAATATAATTAATTGGAGCCTTGCAGCAGGGGCTGGATCCAGGGGGCAAGCTTCCCACTAATGGTGCCGATGCAAAAATTTGCTTCCCATGGAGTCGATTGCCCATTTTTTAGAGGTTAATGAAATTGTAAACTCAAATCATGAAAGACAGCATGGAAGATTTGCAATTCATTTTTCAAGGGTGGTTTCAGTTGAACACACAGTAATAGGACGGGATGGAATTGGAACAAGAGAAACATAATCTGACTCACTCTGAGAAATCATGCGTCTGACTCCACTTTTGCACTGTTCTTGGGTCTTGAGTTCTGGCAGGTAGGTTGGCTGGCTCCACGGCAGGCATGCTGGCTGGCTGCCCAGCAGGCTGGCTGCCTGTCTGGCTGGCTAGCTTGCTTTCCGGCTTGCACCCTGGCAGGTACATGTAGGTTGGCTGGCTCCACGGCAGGCATGCTGGCTGGCTGCCCAGCAGGCTGGCTGCCTGTCTGGCTGGCTCCCCTGCTCCATGGCAGGCAGGCTGGCTGGCTGCCCAGCAGGCTGGCTGCCTGTCTGGCTGGCTCCCCTGCTCCATGGCAGGCAGGCTGACTGGCTGCCCAGCAGGCTGGCTGCCTGTCTGGCTGGCTCCCCTGCTCCACGGCAGGCATGCTGGCTGGCTGCCCAGCAGGCTGGCTGCCTGTCTGGCTGGCTCCCCTGCTCCATGGCAGGCATGCTGGCTGGCTGCCCAGCAGGCTGGCTGCCTGTCTGGCTGGCTCCCCTGCTCCATGGCAGGCAGGCTGGCTGGCTGCCCAGCAGGCTGGCTGCCTGTCTGGCTGGCTCCCCTGCTCCATGGCAGGCAGGCTGGCTGGCTGCCCAGCAGGCTGGCTGCCTGTCTGGCTGGCTCCCCTGCTCCATGGCAGGCATGCTGGCTGGCTGCCCAGCAGGCTGGCTGCCTGTCTGGCTGGCTCCCCTGCTCCATGGCAGGCAGGCTGACTTCTACATGTACATTGCTGTTGATACAAAGAATAAAAAGGAGACTGACTCTTGTCATAAAACTATCTTGATGATCGTTGGAAGCATTTTAGAATGATTTGTTCCCTCTTCTGAATAATAGTCTAATCTGAATACATTTTTTTGTTGTAGCAACTCACAAATTCTGGAACGGAACAAATACTTTAGTGCAATATCTTGTACACCGAAATAATGTCATGTTCGCCGGCCTATATAATGGTCTATGGGTTTGCCATGGGTTAGAAATAAAACTCCATATAGTAGGCCCACAAAAATGTTCGTTTTGGGGAATAAACAATGCTATTGAGCTTGTGACTTTTGAGAATTGAGAATAAATTGTTTATTTTGAAAACTTGTTAAATTGGCATTAATTACAGAAAATGTACATTTTTTTTGTTCACACTACTGATATGAATAAATCAATGGCGGTACAATGTACATGAACATGTAGAAGATTCCAGGAGGGTCGTGACGATGGTGAGCTACCGGTAAGGTAGGTACTTACATACTTACATGTATGCACAAATAGTGTACACATGCCATTTCTGTTACTTTTAGGTTGATTCCTCTCGTCAGAGAAAAAAAGAGATATATGTGCTTGCCAAATTTTGACTGAGTCGCAATTACATTTTACAAGCATCAGATTTGCAGACAAATCTTGCCAAATTTCAAGAATTCAAAATTGTAGTTGGATGGGATATGAGGAGAGGGGTTGTTGAGTAGAATGGCACTCTTTTGAGAATGATGTGACATTGGTATGATGAAACAGTACGGGTATGAAACTAAATAGAGGGCGGTATAGAGAGTGAATGGGCATGAAGTAAATTGTGGGCGCTGTAGAGAGTGAATTATTGACAAGTGCGTAGAATGCCGAGTGAGATGGCTTGGGATGTTGTGGATGCATGGATGCGCGGATGCGGGGTGCATGGGCATGAAGTAAATTGTTATCAATAGAGGGCGCTTTATTTACCCTAGGATCCACTACTTTATTTAAACATGTACTACCCTCTAGAGGACTCACTACTATATTTACCCTAGGACTGACTACTTTATTTCCATATCTAAAAAAAAAAAAACTACCTACTCACTCCATCTTGGATGTGTGGATGCGGGGTGGGCATGAAGTAAATTTAAATCAAAAGAGGGCGCAATAGGGAGTTCTACTGCGCATCCATGCAGCCATGGATGCATGGATATAGAATAGAGTGGCCCTGTATTCTATAGTTGTACCGCGAATGGTTCCGGCGTGTCCAGATTTGTCCGCACGTATTATTCCAATCCTTATTTAATTTTCTTCCTTCCTCGAAAGTGCAGCCATATGAATGAGGATTTACGCACTTGCCAGAAACACCGGGGAGAACCCCTTCTCTAAGCAATAAGCGTTACTTTGTTCTTTAACGTGCGTTTTACAACACACAGGACCTACGGCTTTATGTCCCATCTGAAGGATGAAGCAATAATGGTTAAGTGCCTTGCTTTGAAGGGCACAAGTGTACCCAGGCTCGAACCCACGCCACTGATGCCTCTGAAACTCCAGAACATGAGTCCAGCTAGCTAGGCCATGACACTCCACCCCTAACAACTTGCATGACTAGACTGTACCTTCCAAGCACAGGGCATAATGGCATTTTGTGGCTGATAGGTTGTCCATTATTTCAGCCACATTTATCATGGGCTAACATTTATTCATTATGGGGTACTGGTGGTATCAGGTCAACTCGGACCCAAACCAAGTCGGACCCATGCCAAGTCGGACCCATGCCAACTCGGACCCACGACCAACTCGGACTCTGACCCACAACCAACTCGGACCCACTACCAACTCGGACCCTCTACCAACTCGGACCCAAGCACGACCAACTCTGACCCAATAATGACTCAATCATTAGTTTCAGAGATTTTATTTATAGGTCATCTTAATGTTACAGTGCTTATATAGTGGAGATATTCTGTAATTATATTGGGCAGAATGGGGCTTTTAGTTTTGTTGTTTTCTTTTAAATTTTATTGCCGCTGTGTGGAGCCGTATTTTTTGATGCGTACAGTAAATACTGTTGCTAAACTCTTATCGTTTTGAACGTCATGAAACTAAACGAGCTTAGCTTTTTGAAACCGTGACATGTGTTGCCAAACCAAGAGATATTAGTAGCGTATAGTATAGGTTAGGCATATCGTATGTCATGTGTACAATTTGATATATATACATTTTTTTCAAAATCTCGATTTTTTTTCCAAACGAAATTCAAAGGATTATAATTTTCAGTAAGAAATAAATTGCTTGTTCGTTTTTGCAGGCCTTTGTGTCATGTTACAAGTGGTTTTAAGTGGCACATTTTGTTTCAGTGAGGAAGTTATTAATTTGAAATAACTATTTGGGCCTTTCATTTCATGTAATTGTTCTTTTTTTTGACAAATTTGTTTAACTTTTTATCCTTTTTTTGATTTACCTTTTTTTTCCCCCGTGGAACATCATCTATAGTCAAACATACAGGCAGCTATACCTGTAAGGCCTTACAGGGCTCCAGTATCTAGTACTCGTTTTTGACGATTGACATTGCATCTTTTTGCAGGGGATTTAACTTGATCATTTTTTTTAATTCACATGCTGGCTTTGAATTTTGTAGGTTTTTCTTTTACGAATCCGTTTAACTTTTGATACTTTTTGATTTAACTTTTTTGTTTAATATGGAACCTTCGTTTTTCTTGCAGTGTATGCAATCGGCAATGGTGTTTATGTGGGTCTTTTTAAATAGAGATTAGAATAGACTTCATTTTTATATATTATTTATTTTATTTATTGACTTATAATGTTTACTTAAAATTAGTGAGTTAATTGTTTTTAAATAATATGTTTTGTTTGACAGTGTTTGTTTCAATGTCATACTTTCCAATGTCCTACTTTCCAATTTCATTTTTCTATAAAGATCTGTTCTGAATTTGTATACTCGCTACATTGAAGTTTGGATTAAAAATGAAATAAACTGCTGTTATTTCAAACGATGTCGAATGATTGAAAATGATGGGTCCGAGTTGGTCATGCATGGGTCCGAGTTGGTCGTAGGTCCGAGTTGGTCGTGGGTCCGAGTTGGTAGTGGGTCTGAGTTGGTTGTGGGTCCGAGTTGGTAGTGGGTCCGAGTTGGCGTGGGTCCGAGTTGGTAGTGGGTCCGAGTTGGCATGGGTCCGAGTTGGTTTGGGTCCGAGTTGGTTTGGGTCCGAGTTGGATCGAAACCGTACTGGTTAGGCCTAGCATGCCTAGGCATGCTACTGCTAGGCTAGATACATTTTTGTACAATTATACTATAGCGGCCACCGATAAACGAATAAAGAAGGAAAAAATGTTGCAACCTGACGCCACTGTTTTTCTTCATATCATCTCAATTCATGAATGATGGTCATTCATTGCAAAATGATGAAAAAAAATTAAGAAATGAATCTGGGACTGAGAAAATTTTTAGAATTTTTTTTCTCGACTCTCCATACCATAGACTTTGTACACAATCGCAGAAGCGGCGTCAGGTTGCACAATTTTTACCGAATTTTGAAAATGGCATACCCAAAGAGGCCTTCACACTTGTATGACGGCATATTCCGTTTCATTCCAATAATTAAAATCATCTGAAAATGTTGCACTTAAGTTAAAACACACAAGACAAGAGACAACATTTTGTCAAAAATGTCAAAACAAAAAATTCACTGGACATGCTGGACATCGACAGCGCACGGTGCTGTTTGAAGGGCGCCCTCATCAGTATATAATAGTAACCATACAAAAAGAGGGCGCTATAACGAAAACACGATGATCGCTGCACATGCTGCACACAGTCCACAGATTATGGGTGCACTGAACTAAGTCAAATGAGAATTTCTACGCAAGTCATTAGCATAAAAAGTGCCCCCCCCCCGCCAATTTCTTTTGAAAACGGAGGCCGTTTGGCTTTAAAAACGGTGGAATTGTGTAGATATAATAATAATAATAATATAGCTTTATTTACAGATGGTAGCCATGTCACCTGACAGATGATTTTCAATGGGCCATCTATCAATTAAAAATTACATGACTTAATTAAGACTATACATACATACAAAACACAGATCAATTCACAATGATAGTGCCACTGGAAAAATCAAAACTATAAAAATACATTAAAAGTTCACATCCAATACAATAGGTAAAATAGAGATAATTAAAAACATGTGGTAGAGGAGAACCATGAGAATGCGACACTACCCCCCTCCCCTCCCCACATCCACCCTTCTGTCAACACTCGAGGAAAACCAACCTTAGAAATAGATACTGCTGGGAGTAAAAACAAAAATAGACATACATGTACATTTATATACCGGTGTGTCCATCTAATAATTACAGTCAATGGGGAAAGAATCACACTTATACAGATTTTGTTTTAAATATATACCCAATGATCAACTCCCTGGTTTTTGGGCTTACATCTGAGGGCAGGCTTGACAAAATCACGGATGAAAAATGGGTCCTATTTGCATGTGAAAGTGGAAGGATGCCACTTGTAAAATGGCAACTACATTGTACATGCAGGCTTAGGAACTATCACTTTTCGGGAGGTGATTTTATTTGGGTGTGAATATTTAAAAATGTAATTGGCCTATGTACTGTACCTAAAATTGAAAAGAAATGAAAGATGAAAGACAAGACAATAATTTAATTTTTGTTTGAGAAACACCAGTGATGTTGGCTTGCATTTTATTTGGCCCTGAACTTTAATTTGTTGATGTCAATGAGGCTTGAATTAGTACAGTGGACCCATATTAATAATGGGTTACAGACTTCCACGAGACATCAGTGAAAATTATGCTCGCTTCGCGAATTTCATTTAAAATCCTCACAATTCTCAAAACGTTGACAGTTCCCCCACCCCGAACACCTGGCTCCCGAAAATCACCCACCCACCGGTGGTACCCGGTGCGTGGATGGGTCACACCCACCCACCAATGGGGGGGGGGGGGGTGACTCGTATCATAAGTTCAATGGGGCGCTGTTCAAATATGACAGTTACTAACACTGTAATTACATCATACTGTACAAAATACCCCCTCACCAAGCTGGCAGTGTGTCCTTTCTCTATGCTCTAACCGCGTTTTGTGCACAGGCGCACATTATTACATAATTTTTTGCGTGTCAGAATGAAGGGGGGGGGATACACATTATTAGAAATGAATTTCTATGAAACGATTTTCTTGGACAGAGCTGGGGGAGGGGGATTGACCCCGCCCCCCGTGCCCCCTGAGGGCCTGCAGCCAGTGAGCGCAGTGTACATGTATACGAACGACCCTAGCTGATGATAGAATCTGCCATATCTGTGGTTCCCCATTGCACGTAGTATGTATGAACAAAACTGTTTAGAAAAACCTGCCATAACTAAGTTTCCCTATTGCACGTAGTGTATATGAAACAAGATGATCAGACAATCGGTCATGTTTCGCCTGTTCCACGCATGGTATACAAACTAAGCAGGGTATGAAACCTGCCATAACTACATTTCCCCATTGCACGTTTTGGGTATGGACGAATTAGCTGTTTAGAAAATCCTGGCATAACGTTGTGGGTATAGTTCAAGCTGTTCAGAAAAACTGACATAAATGCGTTTCCCCATTGCACGTTGTGGGTATGGACCAAGCTGCTTAGAAAAAAGGCTGACATAACTGCGTTTCCCTCACTGCACGTTGTAGGTATGGACCAAGCAGTCTAAAAAAAACCTAGCATAATTGCGTTTCCCCGGCCCATTGCACGTTATAGGTAAGGACGAAGCTGTTTCCGATGAACTACTCAAGAAATACAAAATGGATTGAATTGAAAATTCGTGCAATTAGTTTTCACGATGTGTAGCATAAGTAGTTTGAATGGCGTGCGAAACCGTGGAGCTATCAATACAATATGATCGTAACAATCTAATGTTTTAAACGTTAAAATTCCTTGTTGACTTCCATTAGGATTGTATTTGTCGAAATTAAAACCCTGTATTGTTACGGTCATAATATCTTGATTATTGGACGTTTTTTTATGATGAAATTAAATCTTTTGATGTCAAACATCATGACAAATGAGTGCGCGAAAATTCAATTTAATGTAACGTGTATTTCTTGAATTGTTGGCCCCAACTCGAGTTTGGTTGTGGAGATCGAGACCACTATAATAGAGGGCGCGCCACATAAATAGTGGTCTCAACAACGCATCAACACAGATGCTGCACAACTGAACAAAAAGCACAACCTCGTTTCCGATGAACTACTCAAGAAATACAAAATGGATTAAACTGAAATTTGGTGCAATTAGTTTTCACGATGTGTAGCATAAGTAGTTTGAATGGCGTGAGAAACCGTGGAGCTATAAATATAATATGATCGTAACAATCTAGTGTTTTAAACGTTAAAAATCCATGTTGACTTGCATTAGGATTGTACTTGTCGCAAAGAAAACTCGGCAGTGTTACGGTCATAATATCTTGATTATTGGACGTTTTGTTATGAAATTAAATCTTTTGATGTCAAACATCAGGAAAAATGAGTGTGCGAAAATTCAGTTTAATGTAACTTGTATTTCTTGAATTGTTGGCCCCAACTCGAGTTTGGTTGTGGAGATCGAGACCACTATAATAGAGGGCGCGCCACATAAATAGTGGTCTCAACAACGCATCAACACAGATGCTGCACAACTGAACAAAAAGCACAACCTCGTTTCCGATGAACTACTCAAGAAATACAAAATGGATTAAACTGAAATTTGGTGCAATTAGTTTTCACGATGTGTAGCATAAGTTGTTTGAATGGCGTGAGAAACCGTGGAGCTATGAATATAATATGATCGTAACAATCTAGTGTTTTAAACGTTAAAAATCCATGTTGACTTGCATTATGATTGTACTTGTCGCAAATAAAACCCAGCATTGTTACGGTCATAATATCTTGATTATTGGACGTTTTTTTATGAAATTAAATCTTTTGATGTCAAACATCATGCAAAATGAGTGTGCGAAAATTCAGTTTAATGTAATGTGTATTTCTTGAATTGTTGGCCCCAAATCGAGTTTGGTTGTGGAGATCGAGACCACTATAATAGAGGGCGCGCCACATAAATAGTGGTCTCAACAACGCATCAACACAGATGCTGCACAACTGAACAAAATGAACAACCTCGTTTCCGATGAACCACTCAAGAAATACAAAATGGATTAAATTGAAATTTGGTGCAATTAGTTTTCACGATGTATTATATTACATTCATTTTCGGCAGTTCCTGTCAAGATTCTAGAGTTTGGTGTCAAATACCATGGCAAAATATTACAGGAAATGTCATTGCAATACAATGTGTATATCTTGAGTTCCCAATTTCACAATAACTTTGTTGACATGACGAGAAAATACGGAGTGTCCCTACGGGTGCAACAGTGTATTAAAATTCCCATAGACACTAGTGCTAAATGCCCATACTTCTAAACTCTTTTAAAAATACTCAGAACTCTCACATGTATTTAAGCTGCACACAGAAATGGTGATCGAAATGTCATCTCAGTTTTCTTTTTTTTTCAATTTTTGGTGGGTTGACCCGTTACTGTCTTTTCGTGAAATTCTTACCCAAAGAAGACGACCCCTATTTTTCCCAAAGCGGAAAAAAAGTAGCCATCTTGAAAAACGATCCCTCTACATCATGAAAAAAATAGCGCCACTTTCGAGCTCCATTGCATCCAATGTGCTCAGAATTGGAAGTCCCAAGTCTGGGCCAGTGGTTCATTGCCATATTTTTTTTAATTCCCCAATTTTACGGCCCTCAGAACTCTCTAATATAGAATATTTTGAGGGTATAACTGCTTTTCATGAGCTCGGCGGATGGGTTTAGGTCTATTAACAGGTGTGCACCCTGACACGTCACCACTGGTGTTGCAAATGATCTAGGACAATCCAGGAGGTGTGCAAAAAAGTGTATTGATTAAAATTCCGATTCGAATGAAAGTCACTTTTAATGGGAGACAATGAATGAAGAAAACACATTCCAATATTGGATCATAATATCATAACATAAAAAGATTGTAATATATTTACGGAAACCGTGGCAAACAAAAAACATTGCGAGAATAAAAACTAGTCTATGTTACCACCATCAAATGTAATCGTCAATGCCGACCCTGACATGCCCGGTCATAACCATTGAGCTCGAAATAGAAGAAAAATAATTCCCAGTCAATCACAAAATGTTAACTTTTTGTCACCGAGTTAATGACAAACAAAAGAGTCCCAAAGTGCAAGAGGGAACTTACGGTCTTTACAACAGGTTCGCCCTTTAGCACAGGAAGTCGTAGTCAACATGACGAGAGTAGCGCTGCAATAGCTGTGAACTGAAGGCACCCGGCGCCGCTGTTGCTGTTTTCAAGCGGATGACTGGTTCGAAAATTGGAGCGTATTTATATGGATCCTAACACAAAGCACCCACGAAAGCATCACAATACAAATTCCTACCATTCACTGATCATGGCTATAATAACTGACCTGAGACGTTTTGAAGTCTGGAAATGATTATTTTCTGGACTGTGACTTCCTTAAAGCGTTGAGAATTTTGGCTTGTTTGGGTAGAGTGCCAAAAATAATATCTAGCGTAATTAATTATGTGTTGTTCCATTAATTATTTTGGCGGGAGGGGATGAAACTGCTTTAGCTTCTTAAAAACTTCCCAACGGGCAACACTTTGGTTGAAATACAGTACTTTGTTAAGATTTTGTTGCGAGGAC